GGAAATAAAATCACCAGAGGCTTATTGTAAACAAGAACTATGAAGATTCTTGTGGAATATCTGGTATAATACTGTTAACCTTACAGATGAGGAAACCAAAGGCAAGACGGGAAACAGGCCTTGGCCAAGGTCACATGGCTTGTTATTGGCAGGTTCAGCACTTAAAATGAGATCTTATGATTTCCAAACAGGTACTTCCAAAATCAGAGGCTGACAAGATTCCCAAATCTTTTTCTCCTCTTCTTCCGATATACTAGTCCTTCTCCACAATATGCACCTGTCCCATACTTACTGAGATTGTCCCATATTTTCCTGGCCAATTACTTATGACTTCAAAGAAAAATCCAATCCAATCCAATCCAATCTAACAGCATTTATTAAGCCGCTATCATACATAAAGCACTGACCTTAAACAAACAAATAAACTGGATATACAAAGACATCAGGGTATAGTTTGTGTGGAGGATATTTATGATTGTTTGGAGAAAGCTGGTAGCACTAAAAGCCGGGAAGATCAAGAAAGAAATCCTACATAAGGGGGACTCCAAGCAGGAACTGGAAGGCAGTGAAGGATTCTAAAAGGCCAAAATGATGAGGAAGCACATTCCAGGCATTGGAATCAAACAAACTGTGTTTGGAGAAGGCCAGTCTTCCAATAATCATTCATTAAGTACCTACTATGTGCCAGGCACTATGCTTAGCCCTAGAGATACAAAGAAAGGAAAGAGAAAACCCCTACCCTCTAAGACCTCACAATCTAAGGAGAGAGACGATTTGTAAACAATTATGTACAAACAGGTGATATACAGGATAGGAAATATTTAACAAAGGGAAGGCACTAGAATTAAGAAGAACTGGGAATTGGTGAAGATGGGACCTAAGCTGGAACTTGAAGGAAGCTAGGCAAGTCATAAGGTAGAGATGAGAAGGGACAACATTCCAGACATAGGGAACAGCCGGAGAGAATGGGCCAAGCTAAGAGATGGAGACCTGTGTCACTGGATCCACACTGTATGCATCCACATCCAGAGTCCCTTGGGGCGTAAGGTAAAAGAAGAATGGAAAAGTATGTAGAGAGTAGGCTATAAAGGGCTTTGAATGCCAAATAGAGGATTTTGAATTTCATTCTGGAGGTGATAAGGAAGCCACTAGAGTTTATTGAGTAGGGAGGTGCCATGATCTGACTTGTGCTTTCAGGAAGTCACATTGGCAGTTGAATAGAGGATGGCCTAGAGTGGGAAGAGATTTGTAGTGGCAGTATAATCAGCTGGCTATTGCAATAGTCCAGGCGTGAGGGGGTGATGGCCTGTACCAGAAGAAAGAAGAGGGCTATTTGAGAGATGTTGCAAAGGGGAAATTGAAGCCCTTGGCAATAGATTGCATGTGGGAGATGAATGACAGTGAGGCAGGAGATGGAAAGCTGAATTCCAAGGATGAGGAAGCTGTAATGCAGATATGGGAACTGTAGAAATTCCTATGGGAATATGGGAAATGTAGATATGAGAAATTAGCCTGGAAAGTTATAACTGGAAAATTAACAGTTGTCCTCTCCTACCTCATGAGTAAATTAGGATACATTATTCTGCCTAAAAATAAATCTAATAAAGTGCTTCTCTGTAGGGTAGGTGACAGAATGAGTGAACTTGGAGTCTGATTTCTGACAAGTACTCGCCTTTTTGACCAAGGGTTGTTATTTAATCTCTCTGAAACTCATTTGCATCATTGTTAAGAATGGGGATTAAGTTATTTCCTCTAGCTAATGCAAAGTGCAATGAAGGAGAAAAGTGCTTTGTCAGCCTTAAAGCTCTGTAGAAATATGAGAAATTGTCACTGTTGTTTTTAGATCTTGGAGATAAGTACTATTGTGCATGTCTGTCTTCCTAAGTATGACATCAGAAAGAGGAAAAGTTGCACAGACCTTCTCCAGGTACCACAGCCTGCACTTAGCCGGGCAGCCATTTTTGATGGAACAAAGATGGTGCTCTCTGTAGGGGATGGTGCCCTCTGCATACATTGTCTCTTGTCGTCCTCACAATGACCCTGTGAGGTAGCTTGTATAGGTGTGTTTCAGAGATGAGTAAGTTGGACCTCGATGCTGGGGCAGGTAGGTGGCTCAGTAGATAGTCAGGAAGACCTGAGTTCAAATCTGGCCTCAGACACTTATCGTTGTGTGATCCTGGACAAGTTACTTAATCTCTGTCTCTTTCAATTTCCTCAACTATAAAATGAGGATAATAAAAGCACATACCTCTAAGGATTGTTGTGAGGATCAAATGAGATAATATTTGTAAAGCACTCAATGCAGCAATTAGCACATAGTTGTTTGTCTTTCATTTTCAAAGAGGACCAATGAAATCATGGGATGATCACTTGTGTGTGAATTGGATTTAAGTGAAACAGAATTGCACAAAGCAGTCAGCTTCACTTTCTCTTCCAGAGTCATTGAAGTCCGGCAGCAAGACAAAAGTCAAGTTGACTGCTGATGGCCTGGAATGCAGTGGATGACCTTGGAATCTTTGATATCTGACCAAGCTCTAAGTGCTCCACAATGTCTGCCTTAATGGCCATTGGAAAAAAATAATTGTTCTCATCCACCCATTCTGTTGTGGGAAGTTTTCATATGTTTGGGATAGACATCCCCCTAACTCACGGACGCATCTGAGGCCTGTTGGTTACCTTCAAACTGGTTTAGCCCAACTGCAGAGACAATTTTACCAGGATGTGGCTGCTGCACATGCTACAGCTTCTTGGAGCCACAAGTGAGGGTTGGGTGATAGGTGGATACCAAGGATGGATGAGCAGCCCTGAAAAGGGCTGTGCGAGCCCTCACACTGGAAGTGCTAGTCCTCCTGAGCATCCCATACTCCCCTTGGCACATAGTAACTACTTAGATGTTTGTATCCTTCCTACCCATTTTCAAAAGGCTACAAGACTTATCTGTGATCACACAGCTAGTGATCGCCAGAATTCAAATTTGAGCTCAGGTCTCTCCTGTTTCTTCCTTCTCTAAGTCCAGCCATCTTCCTCTCTACCGCACTGCGTCTTCTGTTTCACTTACTTTATTAATAAAGGAAGAAATGAGACAGTAGAGAATTCTGGGAGAGGGGAATGAGAAAAAGATTGTTTAAGCAAATATAGGCATGGATCACATTTGTGTTGTTTAAGAAGAGGCAGCATGAGGTTGTGATTAGAGTAGATCCAGAGGCAGGAAGACCTGGGCACAAATCTCACTTCTGACACATAGTGGATGTGTGACTCTGGGACAGTCACTTCACCTCTTTAGCAGTTGCTCATTTGTATTGGTTGAGTAAGTTTCCTTACACTAGGGATTTCCCACCTTGATCACACTGATGAAATCATAAATGTAGGTGTATATATATGTAAGAGAAAAGAGCAAGAATATGTACCTGTGTGTGTAAAAGGAATTCAGTCATTTAAGAATTTCCTAAATTGATGAAATCCTTATCTACTTATCCATGTATATGTATACACTTACATATAATGGATATGTATATGTGTATATATACATAACTATATATACGTGTGTTTGTATGTGTATATATGTATGTAAAACATATGTATGTATGAGTCTGATTTAGTACCTAACTTCTTCATTTATTGTAGTTGCTTTGGCTGTTAGTTTTTTATTGTTGTTTTTTTTTAAGAAAATTTCGGAAATGCGTAATTTGAATGGTGCCCTGTTACGTGGACTATGTGATCATTCTGTAGAAAATAAAGTGTCCAGCAAAAGCCTTAGAATTTTTTGTAACCACATCCCTGAAGAGACATAAGCATTCCTGTACAGACACACACACACACACACACACACACACACACACACACACACACACATACCCCTTTGATTACCTTCCTAGAAAGGAACATACAATGATGAGCTTGCCTATTGCTAGTACATACAGCATTAACTATAGTCCATACAGCAGGAGCCTGGAAAGTCAGAAATGGTGCATTGCAAAGCAGGCAGGCTTTAGAGGGAGATGGTCTAGGGTCTAATTTCAGTTATGTTTGTTTCTACCTGTCTGTGTGGCCTCCGGCAAGACAGTTAGCCCCTAAAGGCTTTCTTCTTCTGTAAACTGAGAGGAGGTTGGGGTTGATTGGTGTGAGTTAGGGTGGGGGTGGGGTCAAGATCAACTATAAAACTTTCAAGGTCTAGTCAAGCTTTAAAGCCATGTCTGGGCTCCATTCCCTGATAAACCAGTTACCCTTTCTAGCCCATTATGTACTTATCTATATGAACTGAAAAGTAATATTATATCCTTCCTATCTCATATATACACATATACGTATTTGTGTGTGTATGTATACATACATCTACATACATACATATATACGCATACACACATATGTATGCATGTATATTTATTTCTTAGGTTGATATATAAATGGATCCTGAGAAAAAAATTCTAAGGAAAATCTGAAGGATAAGTAGTGTGGTATTTAAAAATCCTTTAACTTTCAGTTATGAGAATTCAATAAATGTAATCTATCACAACTTTATTTTTCTCTTAGCTCTATTTTATTGGGTTTGGGAGTAAGAGAAGGGCTCTAGACTTACGATTTCTACCAGTCCCTCCACTGAAGCAGTTGGGCTTTTATTTAGATTGTGACTTGGCCATAGTTACCCAGGCAGGACTTGAATACAGGTCTTCCTTTCACTAAGATATCTCTACCACTCTCCCATGCCATTTTGTCCTCATTACCTCAACTTTATTTAAAGGCTCAAATCATTTTAAAAACTAGATGGGCAACAGTTTGCTATTTTCTGAACTCCCCCAACTCATAGTATTGCTGAAATGGATGACTAAAAGGGAACATTTTTGCTTGTTTGTTTCTGATTTGCCAGGTAGCTGTTCCTGATCTTCTTGGAAACCACACTATCCCACCAGACCTCTACTTATGCTGACTTAAACTCTCCAAAGATTGGATGCCTCCAGAACAAACATGGGGAGAAGGGTCTAAATTAGGGACAGTTTTCTTAGTTTTGTTTTCATTTTCCATTTATTTCCATTGACAGTCAGAGTTACTGGGTAGTACAAGAATGACATTTTTATTCATAGAAATGACATTAATAGTAGTTCAATAATAAATGAGAGCAGTGAAGGGCTAACCATAATAGTGTACCCATTTACCAAGGCATTCAGGATTCCAAATAAAACTTCACAATAAATAAAGGAGGAGGCATAGCTTAAAACACAACAAAGCAAAAATAGACCAACAAGAACAACACAAAAATGTGACTTAAAAAACTTTCTTATGCTAAGAATAAAAGTCATAAATGAAACCATGCAGAGGGAGGGGGATTGAGGGAATTAACAGTGAACATCATAACAAACAGTTTGGCAAATAAGAAGAACATTCAAGTATCTGGGAAGAGATTGTGGGGTGTGTGGGGAGATTAGGATACACGTTCAGGAAAAATTGGGTTCTATTTACTACCTTAGGAGAGACACCCAAGTGGCTCTCTGTGTCGGTCCAGAGTTTAGCCCAGGCAGGCAATAAGCAAAAGACTGATTCCATTGTCTTTAGCACCTTTAACTAGTTGCAAGGATGGACTGAAACTCAGTGCTGGCATTGATTGTTGAATGAATGTGAATGCTTTGAGACAAATGGATTTTTTCAACATATGAGGTTTCACATATACCAACATGAGTCCAAGTCTCTAACCAAGCACAAGAAGTGTGTTTGGGGAATACAGTAAAAGACAAAGGAAGACAGTGGAAAAAAAATTAAAGTTCAGCAGTTGCTAATTTATTATTCTAAGAATTCAGTTTCAAAACACAATTGAAACTGAGAGCTGGATAATACGTCAGTGGAGCTGATTCTGCAACAAGACGCTTATTTCTCTTAAAAAACAAAAACAAAACAAAACAAACAAACAAGTAATAGGAAGCAGTACCCTCATCTCTTGTGGCTGGATGATGTGCCAGAATCAAATAGTGGCTGGTTTATATATATATATATATATATATATATATATATATATATGTATATACTTAGGGAAGACATGCTTGCCATGGGAGTAGAAAAATAAAATTTATTTGTTAAATTACACATAAATATAAGGTACAAATGTATTTTTAAAATACAGATTAAGATAATCACACTTGCATTGTGTACATATGAAAATACAGTATTTAATAATTCATATACACAGACACATTTATGATAAATGCAACTAATTGGCAATGCCAGTTCTGTCTTTTCCCCCCTTTCCTTGTTTCCATAAAAATGGAAAAAAAAAAGATGCTTTTTTTTTCAAACTTCTCTAGCTCTGTCGGACATCTTGTAGCAGTTTGTTAATTTCCGCCACGAGCTCACTGGCATCCATGAGTTCATGCTTCCCATCATTGAGATGGTTGAGTACATTATCAAAATCATCTTCCTCATAGTTTTCAGGAATCTCTTCCATAGCTGGAAGCCATTTAGAAGAAGGCTGAACGCTTGAGTGAGTCCCCAGGGTGGGCCCCGTGGTGCTGGCAGGATTTTGGAAATGGGTACTGGCTGCCCAGGCTGCCACCCCTTGTGGGTAACCCACAGTCTTGGCTGGGAGAGTTCCCTTTCTACGCTCTAATGAGTTGGCCCGGTCTACCTCACTGCACTCAGTGTAGGTGTCCAAAGATGGAGGTAACAAACGCTGAAACACACTGCTCATTTCAGAGAGCAAAGAGGATGTGCATGTGTCCCCAGTATCTTCTTCATTCTGCACATCTTTCCCAAAGGTGGAAAAACTCTTCTTCTTTTCACTGGAATCAATGGGCTGGGATTCCTCTTCCAGACTTTGATGGGGGTGCTGAGGTTGTGGCTGGGATGGAAATTCTTCTCCTGGAATGAACATGTTGCTTCGATAATCAGAAGATGGGGAGGGAAGAGGTGGCATCCAGCATTGGTCTGAGTGTCCCAGGACTCTGCATTCATCTGTGCATAGCCGCATAGCTGCAATCAGAGTATATGTGGGGGGTTAACAGTCAATCTTAGCTAAATATCTGAGTCATAAAGGTCATTTCTGCAGGAAGATGAAAGTACGATTAAAAACATATTAATTATGATGATGATGACTGACATCTACAGCACTTCAAGATTTACCTTGAAATACACACACACACACACACACACACACACACACACACACACACACACAATCCTTTGAACCTCATAACAAGCATGTAGCCCAGATACCACAGATATTATTAATTCTACCTTTACAGATGAAAAGCCTGAGATTCAATAAGCTTAAAGTGACATAGCATCAACATAGGTTAATAGAGCATAGAGTGAGATCTAGATGGAGCCTCAGAGTTTAGCTAGCCCAGCCTTCCCATTTTATAGATGAGGAAAATGAAGCTCAATGAGACTAAAGTGATTTGACTATAGTTGTACAACTGCTAGGGGTTGAGAGATGTGATTACACGTATAGTAATCTAATGTTTTGTGACTCTGGAACTATTGCACATAGAAGGATTCTTTCAAAATGCCGTTCAGCAAATCCATTTCCCTAATGATGATGATGATGATGATGATGATGATGATCTTGACTAATGATTTAAGGTTTTCAAATCACTTTATAAATATTACCTTATTTTATCTTCATAATAACCATGGAAGTTAGGTGCTATTATTATTTCCATTTTGCTGTTGAGGAAACTAAGACAAACAGTGGTTAAATGGCCTGTCCAGGATCATACAGCTGGTAAGTATCTGAAAGAGAATTTGAACTCAGGTCTTCTTTACTTCATGCCTAATGCTCTATCCACTGCTTCTGCAGGCTATCTATAGGCAGCTGGCATATAGAATGTATAAGATATGAGAGAATCCTTCCCCAATACATGTGTATCCTACTATCCTACACACAATACATATATGAACAATTACTAGACAACAATTACTAGTCTCATTGAGCTTCATTTTCCTCATCTATAAAATGGGAAGGCTGGGCTAGCTAAACTCTGAGGCTCCTTCTAGATCTCACTCTATGCTCTACTAACCTATGTTGATGCTATGTCACTTTAAGCTTATTGAATCTCAGGCTTTTCATCTGTAAAGGTAGAATTAATAATATCTGTGGTATCTGGGCTACATGGTTGTTATGAGGTTCAAAGGATTGTGTTTGTGTGTGTGTGTGTGTGTGTGTGTGTGTGTGTGTGTGTGTATTTCAAGGTAAATCTTGAAGTGCTGTAGATGTCTATTTATGGGCTCCATTTCTACTTATGGTAATAATTTGGGGACATGTAACCGTGAGGAACTAAAATGGCTAAGAATTTAGCAGACAGAAACTGTTAAGTATATTCTTGAGGGAGGAGAAGGCTGTATGAAGTAACTTTGTCCTTTGTTTTCAAAGAGGACAAATGATATCAGAAGGGTGATGTCATGACTTGCAAGTGAATTGGATTTAAGTGAGGCAAGGCTGTTCAAAGTCACCAGCCTCACTCTCTCCCCTGGAGCCATCTGGGCCCAGTGGCAAGATATAGATCAGGATGACTAGAGATGGCCCCAGATGCAGTGGGAGGCCTTAGCCTTTTTAAATTAAGGGATTTGCCAGGTCTCAGTTTGTCACTTGCTGATTGACTGATTGAGCTAATGTCAATAATCAGTGTTTGTTGTACTTATAAATACAGGACTGGTGAGAATGAGTCCATATTCCTTCATAAGCTTTGGAAATCCTTCTCAGCACATAGCTCTCCAGGGGACTTACCCCATAGCCAAATTAACATTCATCACACCCTTTCCTTAGCCCTGAATTGCCTGTTCTACAAGACAGGAATCTGAAATCCAAACCTTGTTGGCAAAAATTTCTGAAAGAAATTTAACCCTTCCAGATGCTTTTTTTTTTCCTTTGGGAATAATCTTTCCTTTCAGGCACATTCTGGCTAATCCACTCTTTCTCAGCTGATGCTAAATTTAAGTCCTCATCATCTTACACCTGAATTTCTATAAAAATTTCCTGGCTTATCTCTCTGCCTTCTTAACCTTCTTTCTCCTTCAGTCCACTCCATGAATTAAGCACATTGCTGCCACACTTCATCAAGAGACTTCATCAACCCTTCAGAAAGTCAGTGATTCCATCATGGTGGTTTTCCCTTTCATCCAAGTAAATAAGAATCCCCTCCATTGTAGACCATTACACAAATTTATGTGGCCAGAAAGTTCATCACCCAATTGCCAACTGTCTGGTAATAAACTTCCTTGAATTGGCCAAAAGAAGGTCTCTCACACACACACACACACCACACACACAAACACACATACATACATATGCACACACATAAGTTTGATGTAGGAATATATTCACACAAATGATCTTTGATAAATATACTTTGCATCATATTGCCAGGAGTAGTAGCAAGAATGTGAAGGAAGAAAAAGGGAAAGTCTGAGACATAAGTATCAACACCTATCCTATCAGAAACTGTACAAGGAATATAAACTTCTTGAGAGCAGGGCTTGTTTCACCTTTTTCTATGTATCTCCAGTGCCTAGCACAGTGAGTGTCACATGGAATAAGAGAATTAGATCTGTGTGGTACATTATAGGTCACCTTGTCTAACCCTCCTCCCATTTTATAGATATGAAAACAGTATTAACTTAATGTTTATTTTTTTGAAATTGAATTGATAAAAAAGTAGGGTAGAGAGACTAGGCATTGAGAGACACTGAATTAGGTCTACCATGAAATTCTAACACCTAAGGAGTAGAAATTAATTAATTAAGGTGAAAAGAGAGCTAAGTGAGGCCAATCCCCAACTTTTTGGATTGTTGATGCATACAGAGTTACGAGCTATTGATCTCCATCTCTTATAACCAAGGGGGTGAAAGGAGTATAATCTTGCTTGGATTATTTCCATAACCTCTTACTTAGTCTCCCTAGATTCCATCCTCCACACATCTTCCCAATAATATTCCAAAAGTACAGTTCTAATCATGTTACTCTTCTACTCAGAAAGCTCAAGTGGTTACCTACTGCCTCTAAGAGAAAATACAACCTCAGCCTGGCCTTTAAAGCCCTCCAGAGCCTGGCTCCAACATACATTTCTGGACCTATTTCATATTATTCTCTTTTACACAGTCTATTTCAACCAAACTGTCCTGCACACTATTCCCTAAACTCAGTGTGGTACTTTGGGCCACGCCATAGCCTAGGTTGCTCTCTGTGCCTGGGATGTACTCTTTTTTTTACTTATAAAATCCCTGTCTTCCTTCAAAGCCCAGGGCAGGTGCCACTTCTTATGGAAAGAAAAAAAAAACACTCTGCTGATTCTCCTAGCATTCACTGCTTTTTCCTTCCTCACTTACTGAGAGAAAAGATTCAGAATGGATACAAAGCTGGCCTCAGAGTCAGGAAGATTTGGGCTCTGGAGAAGACACCTTAGGTCCAACCAAAATTATGTGTATCCATCCATATACCTTCCTTATATGCATGTGTCCATGCATGTACAGATTCTATATATATATATGCATATATATATATATATATATATGCATATATATATATGTGTGTGTGTGTGTGTGTGTGTGTGTGCTTTACATGTTTCACATTTTTTGAAATTAATTTGTTTTTTGGTAAGGCAATTGGGGTTAAGTGATTTGCCTAGGGTCACACAGCTAGTAAGTTTCAAGTGTTTGGTCTGAGGCCAGATTTGAATTGAGGTCCTCCCGACTCCAGGGCCAGTGCTCTATCCACTGTGCCACTTAGCTGCCCCCATGTTTTACATTTTTAAATGAAATATCATCACCATTATTTATAACAGATAAAACATACATATTCTTTTGGGAGACTTGAGTGGCACAAAAATTTCCAAATAACTTACCATATCTATTTCATCTATGTATGTATCTATATATATAATATATATTTGTGTTTATCTATATACATATATCCATACATGGAATTCCCATTTGCTTATTGCATCCCGGCAGTAGAATGTAACCTTGACAGCAGGGACCCCCTTTTCCTTCTACTATCTTCAGTGTTGAGTACAGTGTTTTATTCAAAAGGTGCTTATGAAATGTTCTTTGAATTGATATGTTGAATTGAATGAATAAATTGATGTTGTTAAGCAAAGAATAGTCCATGTATTCCCCATTTGATAGTTTTAAAATAGAAAAGGTGGATAGATGGATAGATAGATAGATAGATAGATAGATAGATAGATAGATAGATAGATACTTGGATAGATAGATGGACAGATAGATAATCTTTTTCTGGCTTCTCTGTCATCTTTGCAGTAGGCAGGAATCCTAGCATTATAAGTGTAAAGGTAAAAGGGGACTTGGAGGTCATGTTTCCCAGCTCTCTCACTTAGCAGATAAAGAAACTAAAGCCTGCAAAGGGGGTGTGCATAACCAAAGTTACCTGGGTAATAAATATCAGAACTTGGATTTGAACTCGGGTCCTTTGATTCTAAATATATAACCCTGGGAAGAGACAAAATGTCCCTGAACTTGCCTCTGTGACGTGTACTTCTTCAGTTTTATAACTGGAAAGTGCTTGGAATGTTTTACATTTTTAAATGAAGCATCAGTCCCTTTATTTATAACAGGAAAAGCACACATTCTTCTGAGAATCTTGAGTTGGATCAAGATTTCCAAAGAATTGAATACAGGGATAATTTGACCAACAATATGTTGCCAAAGAATTATAATGAAAACTGAGTGATTAAAGAGGTAGACATTATTATACTAACCATCAAGAAAGCAGCCTCTGCCTCACAAATATTTCAGAAGTATTAAAGATTAGGGACAACATGGCATAACAGAGTATTGGCCTAGGACCTATGTTCCCTTCCTACTTCTGACAGTTGCTGTCTGTGTGACCCTAGATCTCTCATTTGAATTTGTGGTGCTTCAGGCAACACCTAGAAATGACTAAGTCGTAAGGAATATGCAATATGCTTTCCTATAGGGTGTCCCCTCCCTGGGAGGAATTCTACACCCTGAAGAAGTTATAAATTCTTTACCTGTTAGAATGGTAAAAGATGCTTTTCCATCTTTACTGCAACAAAGGAAAGAAGAAGCATGCTGTATTGAACTAACAGAAGGGAAAGGAGGTCAGCCTTCAAATAAGAATGAGGAAGAAAGAAGGAATCAAAGCAGTGATAAGGAGTATTTCTATTGCTTTAGTTAATATTTCTTATCTCTTCTCTAGGGCCTTAGCTGCTAACAAAGTATTGAGACAAAGGGATATGAATGTTCTCTCTGGATTTTCATGATTCACTGATGCAAATATGACATAGCAACGATGGCTCATCTAACAGGTTTAAAAGGCATGTTCCATAAATAAAGTCCATGAGCTAAATAGTGTCAAGTCTTGTTGTATCCTTTTATAGATGAGGAAAAGTCAAAAAAGGGTTGAGAGACTTGCACAGAATCACACAGCTGGTAAAGCATAGCCTAGGAACTGGACCTAGTTCTTTGACTCCCAATCCAGTGTTCTGACCAGTAAACTATCTGACAAATGCCTAACAGTCAATTCTTAGCATTTGAATAGGTGAGGAGGGGAAGGTGGGAGGTAGAAGCATCCTGCATCAGAAAAGCAAGACAAAGATTTATTTGGGAGGATTAGCATAGTGTCTGAATAATGTTAAGGAAGCTGACCTGATTATTACTTTTTTTTTGGGGGGGGAAGGGAGAGGGAAATTGTATATTCTTTCACCACGCTTTTAATAAACAACCTCTTTGTGCCAGGTTCTGTGCTCAGGAATGCAGGTACATAAACAAACATGAACTAGTCTCAGGTGGCAAGGAATTTATATTCTATTGAATGTGTGTGTCAGTTGGAAAGGTAACCTGGAAATAGAATATAGAAGATTTCAAATGTTAAGATGGTATCAATAAGCAGATCATCAGGGGATTTAGAGGAGAAAGGATTGTTAGAGGTCATTTAGGCCAATTCCTTGACTTTATAGGGCAGAAAACTGAAAGCCAGAGAGATGAAGTCAGAGTTTGCATAGTGAGTAAGAACATGGGCCAGAATATGAATTCAGCTGCTGAGATTTCAAATCAGATGAAAGATGGAAGAGACTGGCAATGAGGATACAAGATAGAAAGCTGTCAAACTAAGCCATATGTACCTACTTATATGAGAAGAAACAGGTGTCAGAATGATAGACACATCAAAGGAGAAGGTTTTTGATGTACTGAATGTTCATTTCACTCTATATCCAACCAGAAGATTCATTTATTGAATTGTGGAGTCCATATGTTTGCATATGTATACATGTCTACATACATATGCAGATATGTATAGATGCTAACACATATGAAAGGCAGCACAAGAAAAGTATGTAGATAGGTCTCCTCGGAATCAGGAAGACAGTTTCAAGTCTTGCCCCTGACACATACTGCCCTCAGGACCCTGAGCGAGTAACTTAACCTCTCAGTGCTCCCAGACAACTCCTAATACTGAAGGTTATAGAGTAGTTGCTGATCTACATTGGTAGAAAAAGTTTCCATACTGGAAATTCCCTATACCATTGAAAATAAGGTCCACTACATATATATAAATGCACCTCAAGAGGCAAGTGAAAACTGAAGTTTCCAGAGAAGCTGTTTCATACACGAAAGACAATATAAGCTGCTTGAGAGAAAGGGGCTATTTTTTTTACCTTTCTTTGTATCACTAGAATAGGTCTGCACAACCTGTGGCCTGAGGCCTATGGCCTGTGGTGAGTGAAAACATGTAGAGGAAAACGTCCTTTGTACGTAGAGGAAATCCACAAGCAGCTGAGGGCCATTAGCAACCTGCCCACAGCAGGTTGTGCAAGCCTGCCCTAGAACTTAGCATTGTGACTGACATATGGTAGAGAAATACTTGTTAACTCACCAATAGTGCTGTATGTATAGTAGAAAGTGAATTAGACTGGGAAACAAGAAACCAAGGGCTCAGATCTCAACTCTATTATGATCTTGGTGAAGTAAATCACTTCTTTTTACTCTCTGAATCAATAAAACCAGAGGGTCAAACTAGATCTCCAAAGTCCTTTCCAGTCACAAACCCTATGTCTCTTGGCCTAATGATCTCAAAGCTCTGCCTTTCTGGGATTCAGTGAATACATATAAAATCCCACAAGGGAGATTCTCAAGATGAGTGAAGAGGATATGAGAAGCCCCACGCAGATGAAAGTGGAGTTATGGCACCTGTATGTAGTTCTAGGTACCTAATAGGGCAAGGAAACACAACCCAGAAGAAGAGTGATGAGGTAAGCAAATACTAATATTTTGGATATGTTCACATGGAGCTTCCCTTGGAGAGCACGTGACTCCTGTTTTAAGTTTGCCTAAATGTATTCAAGAGCACCCTGAAGGTAGGAGGTGTTGAATTCAGAAAACAAGGAAAGCACTCTTGTTTAGTGAAGAGGAGAAAGACCGGTATTTATCACTGTCCAAAACACAAAATGGGGAGGATTACAGAATAAATTAAAGATACTTAAATAAGGAAATTTGATCATGAATTAAAATCACAGTTGACTTGATATCTTTTATAAATTTCATATTGTGAGAGGGTACAGTGAATTTATTGGCAACTTTCCCCAGAACAAGGTTGTTTTTCTCTTCCCCTCTAACCTAAATCAAAGTTTGTTGGGTGTGTACTACTTTATTTTTTAAAACAAATGATATTTAATGAGGAAAACATGATCTACAAATTGAATGATTAGATCTATTATACCCTACTTCATTCTTAGAAGTTACTTTTAACAATCTTATGGTGATGATGATGATGATAAGCCATGCTAACCCCTCCCCCCCAAGTAATCTTCTTTCCTGGTATAGGAACTCTTTTGACCATCAGAGGACCATGAAATGGATATTGTATTAGCAATAGAATGACTATTATATAGGTCACTGTCCTGATCAGATGGCTATAGCAATGCCTATCCTTGGAATATAGTAAATGGAAGAAAATAGGACAAAAAGTGATTTATTCAATGACTAGCTAAACTGTGGATCCATATTACCCTAAATATGTTGATATAAATATGTAGCTGATGATAGAAATAATTCTCAGATATAAAGCCACTGAGTTATTTTGTCCGATATTAGAAAGAACCTTTGATCTCGATTCTGAAAACTCCAGAAGACACAGAGTCCTAGACACCAGAAGACTTCTTGTCCAGGGTTACTCAAACTTCTTGTCTTTGGCCTCATTACGTTCATCTGTAATATGAGGGAGGTGGGCTAACTGGCCAGTAAGGTCCTTTCTACCTCTATATTCTGTGACTTGTGGCCCTCTTGTCCACTTTTTCACACTGCTTTCCTTACCTTTTGCTTTAGTATCAGAAGCCAATTATTTGTATTTTCATTCCATAGTGTTTTCCAGTTTATTGAATATCATTGTACCTCATTTTCAAGTGAAAATTGTATTTAATATAAACTAAATGAATTTTACATTTATTAATTTTCCAAAACTAAAATTCAGGGGGTATGCACTAATTCTCTGGAGCTAAAAGACTGTTCATGCCATAGTTCTAGAAAAAGTATTCTTAACCTGGAGTCCATGAAGGAGAGAGAGAGAGAGAGAGAGAGAGAGAGAGAGAGAGAGAGAGAGAGAGAGAGAGAGAGAATTGCGTTTTTATGTAATTGGTTCCCTTTATAATCCTATGTATATTACTATATGCATTTGGGGTGCATAGATTTCACCAGACTGAAAAAAGGATCCATGGCACAAAAAGGTTAAGAATCACTATTCTAGAGGGATGCTGCTGTATTCTGTAAGAGATATTCTACATCTATGGGACCATAGAGCTATTACAACTTTCTAGATGACTATTTGGATATGTTGGACCCTAAGGAAAATCAAGCACAATTATGATTTTCCCTATCTAGTTCCATAATTTACAAGTGAATATTGTTCTCTTGGGGCCCTCTTCCTCTTTCCCCAATGGGTTAGACCAAACAACTAGGAGGTCCAGCAGTGGTAGTCAACTTTCTCTTCCCCTGCTATGTTTAGAAATATGGCATCTTTTGCTATACTTTAGCTTCTGGTTCTGGAAAACAGTTCCCAAGACAGGAAACATTTCTACTAAATTATAGTTCTAGGCATGACCATATACTAGGACAATGAGGCTACATGGAAATATCCACCCAGTAATTTTAGAAAGAATGCTCCGTGGGGGTTTAGAGGTGGGGTACAGTGCCCTGCTTAAGACCAATAGCTCCGAAAGTAATTTTAAAATGTTTCATTCTAAGTGTCACCTTCCTACCTGCTTTTGGACATGACATATAATTATCTGGAGAGAATGGAGGGGGAAAAAAGGAAAGAAAGAATTAAAGAATGGGAAAAGCAAACACATGAGGGGCCCAATGTTTTCATTCTACTGACATATCATTTAGAGAATCCTAGAAATAGCTACTCATTCCATAGCTATTCATAAAATTCTTACCTGCAGGAATTCTTCCATCGGTGAGGAAGAGGTCACTGAATCCTTCCCCAAGTAGCCGGTCTATTGGAGAATCACGACCCAGATCGTAATCACTGTCCCCCGCCTCGCTGTCACCCCGGCCACTGTCCTTCAAGCTGAATTTATCCATATCTTGAAGGGCATATCTGTGGACAGAAATCAGGCCATAATGCAGGAGTGCATGGATATTACTATTCAAAGTTGCCTATTTCTGTTTGGGGATACCACATAATAAATGAGCAGAATGAGTATAAATTTCTTACCTATAGCTCCTGGAGTATTTATTTCCCCGAAAACTTGGTCGTGGCTGATATTGGCCCTGATGAAGCATTGAGAGAAGCTGAGAGACCTGCTGGAAGAAAGATAGTAAGCACCAGTCCTAGAAATATAATTCTGAATAACTGCTAGAACTAGTTTGGGAAAGAAGGTAAGGATGAGGGTCCAGACCTATAATTTCATCAATCTAGAAAATACCTGATGTGAAAATGCTATTCTCTGATGCAAATCAGCAGCTGATAGCCAAGTTGCCTGACACATTGAAAGGTTATGTGATTTGCCTAGGGTCACACAACTAGTGTGTGTAAGAAGCAAGACTTGAACCCAGGTTTTTCTGACCCCAAGGCCATCTTTCTATATAGTATACCATACTGTCTCTCACAAGTGCAATATTATGGGGCAAAAAAGAGGAATTGGTTATTTCTGACTCCTTAGTGAACATGCTAGTTCAACTTTAAAGTTTCACAGGCATAAAGAATACATTAGAGCCAGCATCTGTGTGGTTCAGTGTCTGTCACCAAAAGATAAACATTCTCAAGTCATTTCCCAGCAACTAAATCATAACCTCAAAGACCTTGCTAATTTTGAGTCAAAATCAATGGCAAATAAATTTAAAAATTTGTCAGTAATTAGATTGAGTTGATTATTTCATGGAAAAGCAGGTTTCCTTTAGATAACTAATAGATCTATTTCTATTTCAGCTTCAGATCAAACAGCTTCTGCTTCTATTTCGGATTCAGGTGATCAATTATTGATATTAAGATCCAAGGGGATATTATATAACACTCTGGTCTATACGATCTCTAGGTAAAATGGTCACAGTACTTTTATATCTTCCAAGTAGCTGAATACATATTACAGACAACAGAACGTTAGAAAGAGTATGAAAGACATCATCAGGAGAATTTGGTTTACTACAATCCTGACTCTCTCACCCTGCTATATGGGGTGATCCTCTAAGTGTCTCTCTGGGCCTCAGCTGTCTCATCTGTAAAATGATGGATTTGGACTAGGTAACCTCTACAACTTGAAAATTCCATGATTTCATGTTAAATGTATTTGGACAGCAGGATTACTGATTTAGAGTTACAACGGTCTTCCGAGGTCATCTAGTTCAAACTCCTCATTTTACAGATGAGGCCATCTGAGACCCAAGGAGATTAATTGAGTTGCCCATAGCCAAACAGGTTGTCAGTGTATTTTGAATACAGGTACTATACTTACTCCAATTCCATTGCTATTTATTATTTGAAGACACTTTCATATAGAAGGAAAATGAAAATATAGTGTTCTTCACTCTAAATATCTGTGTGCATATTCATATAAGTGTATATTTATACACATATACACATATACATACACATATGATTTGGATATATATGTACAAACACACATAACACGTATGCGTATACATGCACACATGCGTATATATGTGCACTCACACACGTGTATATGTATGTATACGTATGTGTATATATACATATATGTGTATATATGTATGTGTGTGTTATATATGCGTGTGTGTGTGTGTGTGTGTGTGTGTGTGTGTGTATACATATATGGGGAGAGAGAGAGAGAGACAGAAAGTATATGCTGGGTGATCCTGGTCATTTGCCTCAGTTTCTTCATCTCTAATTTGAGGATATATACACATATCTATTCATATTATACACACATATATAGACCAATACCAGCTATTGTATGATATGCACATGTAAGTATATACATACCCACATATATTTACCCATGCACATACATGCATAAATATCAATATAAGCATACATGTAAATGCATATGTATATGTGTTATATGCAAGCTTACTCTATTTTAATTGCCTTATACTTAATTTATATTTTGCTCAATTATCTATGGATTAAGAGAGAGTATTTTTATAGTATTTATAGAAACACTTTTCAGACTGAGATGTGCTAATGCCCTAGTTCTGATTTGGTACTAATGAATGGACTTCGATATCATAGTTGATGATCTTACCTCAACCGCAGGAGTAGCATGGGTGAGTTCCAATGAGAAGTTCTCCGGCACATGGTTTGATGAGATTGTCACTAGGCTATTAAGTGACTGGTGACTGTGGTGACTCTGTCGACTGCTCATCTGCCCTCTTTCCAGAGTGGGAGAAGAAGAAGGAGATGACCTATGGTGGGATCTAATGGGCAAAGTGCCATTGATTGTAGGCACTAGAGTAATATCTCCTTTGTGAATCTGCCTGGAGGGTCTTTTTGGGTGGTGCTGGTAGGTAGATTCTGCCACCCTACAGTTGTAGGACCGGTTGTCTTTCTTTTCTCTGTTGCACCGGGTTGCAAAGAGGACCATGATGACCAATAAGACAGCACAGATAGCTCCCAAGGAGATAATTATTATCATGGAGACATCCATAGAGGTCTGACTAACTGAGGTCATTGCTGTACTTGTCACTGATTCAACAAACTCAAAAACTGAACACTTCAGAAATGCTTTGGTATGGAGCTGGGGACTGCCTTTATCCTGAACAAGTACAGTAAGCTCCCATTCAGTGTGTGGAGTGGACTCCATGCTCACATTGGTGTAGATGTCACACGATTTGGGGTCTATGACAAAGATATTGTCTTCATTCCCTGCTACTATGGAACAGCTTAGTTCTGCATTCATGCCAGAGTCCCGGTCTACAGCCCTTACTCTGGTGACATGGAAGCCACTTTCAGCCCCTTTAGGGATTGGGATTTCTGCTGTGTTATTTCGAAGGGCAGGGCCTACAATCACAGGGACATTGTCATTTTCATCGATGATAGTGAGCACAACTGTGGTATTGCTGACGAGTTGTGTTGGACTTCCCCCATCCCTGGCTTCAACCACAAAAGCAATCTGACTTACTTCTTCATGATCAAAGATTCTGAGGGCATAGATGGCGCCATTAGATGGGTCAATGGTTACGTATGTAGTTATGGAACTTCCCAGGATAAAACTCTCCAAAATAGTATAGGTGACCTGTCCATTTTCTCCTAGGTCAGGGTCAGTAGCTGTGACAGAAGTGATATATGCCCCTGGAGAATTATTCTCAGAGATAACAAATTCATATCGGCTTCTCTGGAAATGGGGTGGATTGTCATTTACATCATTGATTTGGACAGTGAAATGTTTCACTGTTGAGAGACTAGGGGTTCCCCTGTCCTCTGCAATTACAGTCAAACTATATTCAGATCTCTTTTCTCTGTCAGTGTGGCATTAGTCAAGATCAAATAATTGTTTTCATATGTCTTCTGAAGTTTAAAGTGACCATGTCCATGAAGTTTGCAAACTATTTCTCCATTCAGTCCAGAATCCTTGTCTTGTACCCTGACCAAAGCAACAAACGAGTCAATGGGATCCCCCTCAAAAACATAAGATACTTCCTCTTTGCCAGGAGACATCAGGTTTATGTTAATTTCAGGCTTATTGTCATTTACATCTACAACCTTAATGATGATTTTGCAGTGAGCTGGAATTGAATTAGGACCCATATCCTGAGCCTGAGCATCAATTTCATAGGATTTGGTGGTCTCATAGTCCACTTGCTTGAAAAGGGTCAAATGGCCTCTTTCAGAATCAATCTTAAAAGTCTCTATAATTTTGGGAGACACATGACTGCTGAAGGAATACACAATTTTCCCATTAGCGCCCTCATCTGGATCAGTGGCATTCAGGTCTAGGAGCAAAGTCCCCACTGGGGAGTTCTCCAAGAGCTGGATTACATAAGATTGTTTCTCAAAAACAGGACTGTTGTCATTAGAGTCCGAAATGCTTATTTTGAGAATGGAGGATCCAGACCTCTGAGGCACTCCCATGTCAGAGGCAGTGAGTTGGAGTTCATAGCTGGACTTCAGCTCCCTGTCCAATTCTCTCACCACAATGAGCTCCGCATATTTCGCCCCATCCGTCCTAGTACGCACCTCGATATTAAAAAAGTCATTAGCAGAGAGAGAGTACGTATGGAGAGAGTTCTCCCCAACATCTGGATCGAACGCGCTGTCCAAAGGAATCCGAGTCCCGACAGCTGCACTCTCAGATATCTCAATAGGGATGAGAGGTCGGGAAAACTGGGGGGAATTGTCATTAATATCCAGAACCTCCACCTCAATGTGGAAAAGCTGCAGATGCTCTGTGGGCAGAGTGATCACATCAAACTCAATGGAACAGTTCAAGTTTTTCTGGCAGAGTTGTTCCCGGTCAATTTTCGCCCCTATGCTGATTTCCCCGTTATCCTCTCGGACTGTGAGTAAAGGAGAATTCCCCCTTTGCATTGCTCGGAAGCGCACCGTAGTCGGGTTAGGGAGCTTAAATAAAACATCAGCCACATCCTCCGAGAGTCTCGCAATGACCGAGCCAACCCTCTGTTCTTCATAAATCCTGTATTTCAAATTCTTGCCCAGCACGTCTCCGTTGAAAGAGAACAGTAACAGTGCAAAAAAGGCTATAAAGTGCATCGTCCAACTCATTTGGTGCATTGGGTGAGTTTCTGCAATTCACCTCTCCCAGCAAGTTGAAGAAAAGAAGAAAAAAAAAAGAAAACAATAGCAGTCCTTTCAAGTTCCTCCGGTCACTTAAACCCAGTCTACATTTGGTCCCTTAAACTTGAAGACGGCTCTTTCTAACACCAGTAGACCAATTAATTGTTCACAAACTTCTTATCTAAAAATAAAAATTAAAAAAAAAAAGTCTGGTTTATACACACCATGTCATGACTTCCAGCTCAGCGCTGCACGTAAGCCGATCCCAGGCATAGCTTCTCCGCTGTTCCCTTTTCCAGGCAGAAATGTGTCACATCAGTCCTTTCTCCCTTGAGCAGTCCGTATCCATTAATGCAGGATGCCCGCCGAGCAAGTCTTCAGTGTGTCTTTCCTGAGAGATCCTTTCCCCCCCTTTCACTGCTCCGCTGCAGACTAAATACCCTTGATTGCTGACTCCAGTCTAAAATCTGTATAACTTCAGTTCAACTCAGACAAAGCTTTTTTTGCCCGGCATGTGTTGAAACGCTTCCAGCCAATCAGAGCACTCCCAAATCAAAGGCTGGTGGAGTCACAAAAGAGGGAAAGAGAAAGAGAGAGAGAGGGAGGGAGAGAAAGGGCGAGGGGGAGAACTGGAAGATCTTGGGGGCTGGGGGAAGGGCTGGGGAGACTGGAGGAGAAGGATGATAGCTCTTCCTTCCCTCTTGCCTCTTTTCCTCTGGGCTCCTCCCTCCCCTTTGCCACACACCTCCCCCCCTTCATTTTACTGCATTCACTTTCTTAGAGTGTGCCTCAACAAAGAGGAGACAAATTACTAAAGAAAAACTTTAAATCAACTTCGGGTCGTGTCTTTATTTATATGACACTTGAAATTGTTCTTGTAATCTCAATTAGGCTGCTTCTTCTGCAAACATGTGATCATCCTCCTTCTGGTTTACATAGTTTTTAAGTCCTATTTTTACTTTTTTTTTTCTTTGAGTGCATTTTGTTTGGAGATGAGTTTACTAAAATGCTGGTGGGGGTTGGCTAGCTCTGGATGTACTGCTTCTCAGTTCTCCCTCACTATCAATATTTGGATCTTCCTGGTTATTTTTTGAGAGAGCAAACTAAGGTTTCCCTCCCCTCACTTTTTTTTTTCTCAAAATGCTCAAGCAATCTTTCTTGAATGTTTTAAAGAGCAAAACTCAGGAAGAAAAACATATTCTGCCTCATTTTCTGTTTCTTTTTCATTTTAACGTCATTCCTTCAAGACGAGAGAAAATATGGGAAACTCCTCGCTCCTTCTGATTGACTGGTAGAAGAAAACTGTGGAATGGAGAAGTTACCTCATGACAACATAATCTATTTGTCCCCGTCTCCTCTGCCTCTCTAGGTTTCAGCACATGATCTACGTCTATGTGTGTTTATTTTGTTTCCTCTGTTCTTTAAAAAATTCCTTTTCATCTTGGGTGAAAAAAGGCCATTCATGTTCCAGCATGACAATTTCTAGCAAAGCATACCCTAACCATACCAAATGCTTCAAAAACATCCCAAGGGACAGCCAGACCACATCTCCTATAAGGGGAAAATCTGCAATATCTCTGTTACTCACAGGATCTATTAGGTATCTGGATCTGGATAGATAAATAGATAGACAAATAAATACACATGCATACATATATATACACAAACACACACAGGAATAATACATACATTTTTTAAAACACACACCAACAAAAACAACCCTGAAGCATGTATAGGTAGAAAACAATTAAAAGCACAAGCCAGAATTTAATTCCTTGTACATCTAAATTCTTTGGAACCTGATGTAAAACTCCCAGTCTATCCAGGTCACAGAAACTGATCTGTTATTCTTATTTCAATCATGATTATTTATGATGTGCTTTCTGTTCTGAAATATCTTTTAAATTTATCATCAGAAAAACAGGATTTCTGTTCTTTCAATACTCCTTTGCATTATATGTCTTTGTTGACTTCATCCACTCGCTTATTTGCTTTTTGACATCATCTCTCAGTCCCCTTTTTCTTCATTTTTCTCTCTCTACCTCCCCTGAAATGTAAAAAAAAAAAAAAAGCAAAGTAAATCTGTGATTTTTTCCCCCTACTTTGCTTGCCCTCAGCAGAGCTCAGCCAAAGTCACTAAGAGGCTTTTTGAAAGAAAAAAAGAAAGAAAGCAAGAAAGCAGAAGAGTAAGAAAGCCAGCAGAGGAGTCTCAGTGTGAACTCTCCTGCTTTTTAAGCATTCAAAAGCATTTTATAAGCCACTGTCTCCTTTTTTCAGAAACCAGTGCCGTGTGGCAAATTGTGCAGAATAGAAATGCCGATAATGAATGTATTTAGTCCTGGGTCACGCCGATGAACATTCTGCCCCCATGAATAATACTGTTTTACAAGTTTGCAGCCTTTTCAAAGTGCTGATCCCCAAACCCTATAGGCAAACTTCGAAAGCTAACACAAGCAACTGGGACTTTAGAAACCCATAGCCATCTGGCCTAGATCTTGAACAATCCAAGCCAATAATTATATCAATTCAGGCTTTAGGGAACCTCTTTGCAAACAGCAAAAGAGCAAAGAAAGGCATTAGTGTCTACTTGGAGTTGGGGTGGAGAGAATTCAAAGATAATCTAATTCCATTAGTTCACCAGGCAGCTTTGTGGAACAGCTTTGTCCCCAAACTTTTTTCCCTCTTTCTGGCCCCCAATACTCCCAAGTTCAATCTCTTTGCTCATCATCATTGGAGCAATGATACCGGTAAAAATACTTCCTAGCAGAGTGTCAGGACATGTTTGTTTTTTTTTTAACTTTGACAAAACACAAAAGTTATTGCCTCTCCTCCCCCACCCCTACCCCAAGAGTAGGCCTGAGCTGAATTATTCATTGTGAAAAATAGTTTCACTGTTACATGATGAAATATTTAAAACAGGTTGTAAATGAATATGCCTCTATGAGGAATTTGTTCTGGTGAGTTATTGTTTTATAGGGATGGAAATGCTGCCTTGAGGGAAGAGTTTTTACACTTGTCCCATCCCATTCTTCCTCACCAAGCCAATTTACGTTCAGCAAACCCATCTTTCAAAGAGAAATGAAATCAACTGTGTCTGCTGTGTAGAAGCCTATCTCTGGCCTCCTCTTTTACTATCGGCCTTTTTTAATTTTCTTTCCAGACCAGAGCTGATTGATCTAGATATCATAGAACTAGTCAGCAGAATCTATCTTTCTATCTTAATGCCCACGACTCCAGTCGAGTGCTCAACACCCTTCCCAATAAATACCTGAAAAAAAAGAGACCAAGAAAATCCACATGGCCTTTTTTTTTTTTGGAGATGAGCAAAAATGGAAAGAAAAGATTAGGGATTTAAGCTAAAGTCAGCTAATGGTAACTATTTTTTACTTTATTTTAGCTCTTTATTAATATAGCTATGTGGACATGAACCACCCCCTGAAATAAGTACTTAACTATACAGTGGGTTTGAACTGAATGTTCCTTAAACTTCCATTTGTTTTTGATATGGCCAATTTCCTTTACAATGAAAAGAGAGAGCTCCACATGGGGCCAGCAGACACTTCCTTTGGATATGATGTGACCATAGTGCTGCTGCTGATCTGAAAGGTCATCTTGGTTCTTTCTACCCTGTTACATATGTACTAATTGCAAAGTTTTAATGCTTGGGGCACAAAGTACTGTACACCTAGAGAGAGGAAACTATCAGGACCCTGAACTACCCTACTTCTGTATCAAGAAAAATAGGAGAGAAATATGTTTAATCATTTCTTCTCTATGACCAAGATTGATCATTGTAATTAATAAGCTGTCTCTTTTTAGAATTTTCTGAATTTCCTTACTGTAGTTATTTTATATACTCAATCAATCAAGATTTATTAAATACATACTACTACAGAGAATGTATGAGGTGCTCTTCTAAGCCCTGAAAATACAAAGAAAGCAAAAAATAGCCCTCTCTGAAAGAGTTTACATTCTAATGGAGGAATGTATACTCTATTTATATTGTTCTTCTGATTCTGCTTATTTTCTCATTTGTGTCTATCAATTTTATTTTTAAACAAATGCAGCTTCATATATCTAGGTAACTAAATGTTATAGGGTATAGAAAACTGCACCCTGAGTCAAAAAGAATGGCATTCAAATCTAGACTCAGACACTTATTAGCTATGTGACCCTGGGCAAGTCATTTGATCTCTATCTTTTTCAATTTTCACAGTTTTAAAATGGAGATTATAATAGTATCTTACCTCTGAGTACTGTTTTGAGGATAAAATGAGATAATATGTGTAAAGGACTTTGCAAACCTTAAAGTACTACCTAAAGTTAACTATTATTTCCAAATTTGAAAAAAAAATCTTTTCTCTCTGTAGAGATGCTAAGAAATGTGCTTCCCTTCTCATACTCAACAATTCAATGTCATGTGAAAGATATTATCCTTTCTTTTGGTACTTGAAGGTGGATTGATGAAGACTTTGGGAGAACGTTGGAAAAGAGACAAATACATCTCTTAAAGAACTGATTTATTTTTAATTCACATCAACACTTCTCGATAACCACATACCTACAATGAGTTGGAATGAAACTATTGACTGTTAACATTAATTTTCTCACAAATGAGTCCCAGTCTTCCCTTACATGGAGATGATTGCACTTCTGCAGAAACTACTGTTACATAATTTCAAGTAGCATAGAGCTAATTTGCACAAGGTCAAGAATCTCTAAATCTAATAAACCACCCCCTGGCCATGGTTTTTAACCTACACTCTTGCAACTTGAATAGTTCTTTAATTAAAACAGATAACCTTGGTTTACATTTTAATGTGGCTGAGGAGACCTAAGCACTGAGGATCAGATACTAGTGAAAATCTATTCTACATGCCAGGTTATGTATGAGAGTGTGCCTTGTTTTCTGGAAGCCATGTCTATGTGTAAAAAAAAAAAATGGTGGGCTACTTACATAGCTCTTATGGATGAGCAAGTAGTAGATTCACTTAATGGTCTGTGAAAACTGGCTCTTATCTGCCTTTCTGGGTTTATTTCACAATGGTCTTCTTCATATACTTTCCATCCCAGTGTAATTTTCCCTGTATACACTGCATCTCTGCCACATACCTTTAAACACTGCATCTCATCTTACCTTTAAGCCATCCTCCTTCCCTGGGAGGCATGAGAGAAAAAAAGAAAGGGGAGAGAGAGAGAGAGAGAGAGAGAGAGAGAGAGAGAGAGAGAGAGAGAGAGAGAGAGAGAGAGAGAGAATACATATATTCATGCATAAACATATACACACACAAATAACTATATAACACACACACACACACACACACACACACACACACACACATATATATATATATATATATAATATATATATATATATATATATATATATATATATATATATATATATATTATATATATTATATATATACATATTTAAACACACATCAACAACAATCCTAAAACATATAAGTGTCTTCCTTACCCAAGTGACCTAGAATCCTTAATCTCCTTCAAGGCTCAAATCATGTGTCACAAGAATCCTTTTCTAATCTCTATAGTTGTTAATATTCTCTCCTTTCATGTCCACTTACCATGCATGTACTGAAACCATGTATAAATTGTACCTTCCAATGGAGGGTAAGGGCAGAAACTGTTTTCGTTTATTTTATTTTTGTATTCCCAGCACTTAGCACAGTGTTTTGCACATCATAGGTGCTTAAAGAATGATTCTTAGAATTTATGACTAAAGGAATGATAAAGAACATTATGAAGTGCAAAATGGATAATTTTGATTACATTAAATTAAAAGTTTTTGCACAAACAAAGCCAATGCAGCCCAGATTAGAAAGAAATCAGAAAGTTGGAAAATAATTTTTACAATCGGTGTCTCTGATAAAGGCCTCATTTCTAAAATATATAGAGAGCTGAGTCAAATTATAAGAATACAAGTCATTCCCAATTAATAAATGATCAAAGGATGTGAAAAACAGTTTTCAGATGAATAAATTAAAGCCATCTATAGTCATATGAAAAAATGCGCTAAATCATTGTTGATTAGTGATATGTAAATTAAAACAACTCTGAGGTACCACTTCACACCTATCAGATTGGCTATTATGACAGAAAAAGAAAATGATAGATGTTGGAGAAAATATGGGAAAATTAGAACACTAATGCATTATTGGTGGAGTTGCAAACTGATTCAACTATTTGGGGGAGCAATTTGGAACTATGCTCAAGGGCAACCAAACTGTGCATACTCTTTGATCCAGCAATGACATTACTAAGTCTGTATCCCAAAGAGATCATTAAAAACGGGAAAAGGACCCACATGTTGTAGCAGCCAATCAATTAGGGAAAGGCTGAACAAGTTATGGTATATGAATGTAATGAAATACTATTATGCTAAGGACGCAGATTTCAGAAAATCCTGGAAAGACTTGCATGATCTGATGCTGAGTGAAGTGAGTAGAACCAGGAGTACATTGTACACAGTAACAGCAACAGTAACAGCAACATCGTGCGATGACCAATTTAGCTCTTCTCAGCAATTCCATGATCTAAGACAACTCCAAACAACTCATGATGGAAAATCCAGAGAAAGAAACTTGGAGTCTGAATGAAGATTGAAACATACTGTTTTTTCTCTCTCTCTGTTTTCTTTCTTGTGGTTTTTCCGTTTTATTTTGATTCTTATTTCACAGCATGACTAATGTGGAAATATGTTTAATATTATTGTACATGTATAGCCTATGTCAGATTCCTTGCTGTCTTGGTGAAGGGGGAGGGGAGGGAAGGAGGAAGGGAGAAAAAAAATTTGGAACTAAAAATCCTATAAAAGTGAATGTTAAAAACTATCTTTACATTCAATTGGAAAAAAAATAATTACTATGATTCTTAGACTGAATTGAAGAGTAATTTTTGACCACGGGAGTGTATAGTAACACTATTAGGCAGAGGATACTGAAGATGATTTGGTATTTACTCACTATATTAATATATGAGAGAAGATGTATATCTACTTCATTTCAGTCAATGAATTCTACAAGCATTTATTAAGCACCTATTATGCATTAGGCCCTGTGGTAAAGCCTGATGATACAAAACTAAAAAAAAAATTCTGTCCTTAAGGTGCATACTTTTCCTTGGGAGTCAAAAATGGGAACTAATAAGGTAACATAGCATAGATACAAAGTGAATGGAGGGGAAGAGAATAGAAGACTAGGAAACTAGACCTGGACCTCATGTAGGTAATATTTAATCTGGATCCCAAAGGGTGTTGGGAGTCATGAGTTGCAGAGGTAAGGAGAGAGGAAATTCTAGGCATGGCTCACAGTTTGTAAAAGCTATGAAGGAAGAGATGGAATGTCAATGTCTGGTGAGCTGCAAGCTGGACTATCTGGCTGGAATCTCGAAAATGTGTATAGCTTGGGGTTGGGGGAGTGGAAGACTTTGCAATGTGAAATTGATCTGGAAAGACTGGTTGCAACCAGATTGTGAGGAACTTTAAATTCCAAACAGGTATTATTTTGTCCTTGATGTGCTAGGGAGCTGCTATGTGGGCATGACATAGTTTGACCTGTTCTATAGGAGTATCAATGTGATAGCCTGGTAGTGGATAGATTGGAGAGAGTAAAAGCCAAAGCTAATCCTAATCACAGCACCCTAAAACAAGGATTTTTTAAAAAATTGTTAGTTCCTTGAAGGAAGGGAATGAGGAGAGGATTGTGGGAAGATGGCAGAATATGTCAGAAAACTTTTGGCCCTCCAAGTTTTCTCAAAAAAAAAACCCAAAACACACAGAACATTTCCTCAGAACAGCAGAAATAAATGTGGGTAAAGCAGTTCTCTTTTAAGACAATTTGAGAAGACTTTGGGAAAGACTGAATTTCCAGGGGAGGAGGTTAGAGTGAAATGTAAAAACCCCCAGGCCTACTCTGCAGAATCAACAAACAACAAGCCCTGAGGGCAGCTGGGTTGAGAGGCAGCCTCAGCCTTAGCAACTTTCATCTTGAGACAGTGTGGTGGTCTGACCACTAAGGAGAAGACTGAAGGACCTTTCACTGTCAAGAGGTGTCAAGCACAGCTGTTCTGACCAGACCCATCCTGGGCTGTGAATGCAGGGAGAAGGAGCTAGCACACACCTGTTGAGTGCAGTAGTGAAGGACAGGGACCCTGCTGGCTGTGGGCACTTGCAGAAGAGCAGAGTCCCTGGTTTCAGTTCCAGGACAGAGGGGACAGCTATAGTTTGCAGCCACTGGAGGGACCTCAGGGAGCAAGATCATTTGCAGGACAGTGTGGCTGGGGGCCCTAGCTGTGGCTTAGGAGTGGAGAGGAGAACCCAAGTTTGGGCCCTGAGGCAGACCTTAGAAAAGAACAGTGAGAAGGACCTGATTCACCATATTTTGGGACTACAATTTGATTACACCAAAATAGCTGCTAAAAATAAAATAAAACAAAAAAAGAAATAAATAAAAATGAGTAAGCAAAGGAGAAAGAACCCAATCACAGCTAGTTACTATGGGAATAGAAGATCTACATTCAGCGTTAGAGCTAAAATGTAGCTAAAAAACAAAACAAAACAAAACAAAATTCTTTTTTTTTTTTCATGAGAAACATCAAATTATCCCAAGCACAAAAAGAGTTCTTGGAAGAACTAAAAAAAAAAAACCTACACAAAAAAAAAACCTTTGAAAATTAAATGAGAGATAAGAGCAATCCAAGAAAATCAAGAAAATTGTGAATGGAAAGTCAACCAACTGGAAATAGAGAATCAAAAACTTAAGGAAGAAAATAATTCCTTGGAAACTAAAACTGGGCAAAGGGAAGTCAATGACATTCTAAGACAAAAGAAATTAAAAAATTAAATCAAAAGAATGAAAAATAGAAGAGAATATGAAAAATCTTATCAGATAAAAAAACTGATCTAGAGAGCAGACTGAAGAGAAATAATATAAGAATAGTCAGACTGACTGAAAATTATGATTAAAAAAAAGAATCTTAATACAATGTTATAAGAAGTTATCAAGGAAAATTGCCCTGAAGTTCAAGAACAAAAAAAAAAGCAGAAATAGAAAAAAATCCACTCATCATCACCTGAAAGAGCTTCCAGGAGGAAATCTTACAGGAATATCATAGCCAAATTTCAAAGCTCTCCAGTTAAGGAGAAAATATTGGAAGCAACAAGGAAAAAAATTGAATATTATGGAGCTACAATAAAGGTTGCACAACATCTAGCAGCTACTACATTGAAGAAAGTTGTAGGTCTTAGAATACTATATTCCATAGAGCAAAGAAGCTGGGGTTACAACCAAGGGTAATTTACCCAGAATAGTTAAATATAATCCTGAATTAAAAAAAAATGTAGACACTTAAAAAACTCAAAAACTTTCAGGTTCTTGTGACAAAAGCCCCAGAACTTAAGAGAAAATTCAACATATAACAGCCAGGAGAAATATAAAGTAAACATTAAAGACCAATTACAAGGGACTCAATAAGGTCAAATTGTAACTTCGTATATGTGAAAATATTAGCAGCACTCTTACGTTGTCATCATTATTTAGGTAGTTTGAAAGAAAGGCATGGGCTGAGCTAACTATGATGAATAAAACTGTATAAGGAGAGATTAAAATGGAATGATTATCTCATGCAAATGAAGCATAAAAGGAAAAAAAAATGATACACAAAAAGCTGGTATGGGAGAGGGCAGATAATGCTGGAACCTTACTCTCATTGGAAATGGGTTAAAGAGGTATTAACATATATCTAGAAGGATATGAAAGTCTAAATTCAGAAAGAAATAAGAGGACAAGAAGGATAGGGTAGGGGGAAAGGATAAGAAAGGGACTCTTAGAGGAGTGGGTAGGTTAAGAAATAGGAAGGGAAGGTAGAAGCAAAGTAGAAGTAGAAGTAAAGCAGAAAATTGAGTTGGGATAAGGTAAATAGAGTGAGAAAGATAGTGAGGAAAAATAAGAAGGAGGAAAATATACAAGTAATTGTAGTTTGGAACGTAAATGAGATAAATTTACCCATAAAATGGAAATGGATAGCAGATTAAAAATTTGAATTCAACAATATGTTACTTTCAGGAAATATTACAAAAATAAGAGACACAAAGAATTTAGTATGTAGAAAAAGCAAGGATAGTTATCACAATCTCAAACTGTATTAAAGTTAAAACAGATTAAATCAAAATGAAAAATAGAGAAACTACCCTATGTGTCAGCCATATTATTCAACATTGTTTTAGACCCTTTAAAATAGGTAGCCAGTATAAAATACCTGAGCATATACCTGTCTAAACAGATACAGAAACAATATGAACATAAATGTAAACATAAAACACCTTTTTGTATGAATAAACTCAGATCTAAATAATTGAAATAATATTTACTGTTCATGTGTAGGTAAAGCCAATATAATTTTTAAAATGGCAATTTTACCTAACTAATCTATTTATTCAATGTCATCCTAATTAAATTCCAAAAAAAATTACTGAGTTAGAAAAAAGAATAATAGCAAAGTTATTCCTAAAGTTCATTGGGAAGAACAAAAGGTCAGGAACTTCAAAGAAACCAGAAAAAAAGAAAGACATAAAGGAAGTAGATTAGCAGTATCATACCTTAAACTATGCTATAAAGTGGGAACATTATTAAAGCATAAACAAGATAATTTTGATTATTTAAAATTAAAATCATCTTGTATAAATAAAACCTATGTATGGTAAGAATAGAAGGAATGTAGAGAATTAGGGAATAAAGAAAACTTTCATAGATAATCTCTAAGGTAGGATGTGACTGAGTCGGATTATTGCTATTATGTAGGAAATGATGAGCTGGTTGATTTTGAAAAGGATAGAAAGACTTGGACTTATGAAGGAAGATGCTATTCACCTTCAGAGAAACAGATGATAGGAGGAAATAAGCATAGCCCAGTCTTACATATATATGTATGAGTGTGCATGTGTACATATGTCTATGTTTATAGATACCTATGTATGTGTATGTGTGTGTGTCTGTGTGTGTGTATATATATCTCCATGCTTAATTGTATTAATTGTAGCCTTCTATATGATGATGGTGGGCAAGAGGGGGGAAAATAAAGTAAAAAATGCACAGCAGAGAACAAAAGAAAACCAACAAAGAAGCAAAGAAAATCTGGGCAGCTTTGAAAATAATGTGTGGTATTTATTATATAGGTTTTCTTGAATGGAAATTTATGGTTTTGTATTGATTCTTCTCTTATGGTCTGCTGTGTACATGGCAATTTTTTCCTTTTCTTTTCTCGTTTTGTTTAAAATTAAAAAAAAAATTTTAAAAAAGAAGGGACTGTTTTCATTCCTAGTATCTAACACAGAGCCAGAGACATAGTATGCAATTAGCACATGTTTCTGGAATTAAATAGAATCTACCAGTGGCAACCCCCGACTAGAGTTTGTCCCCTCCAGTTAAGGCAAGTCATTGAAAAGAGGGGCTGGTTCCAGGGGGAGGTAGTAGTAGAATGTGAAGGGCAGCTTCTTTCCATTATGCATCCAGAGCAATGTTCTGTTCCTTAAGAGACTAGAACTGAATCGTTTGTTTTGTGTTATATTGGGTCACCATGTGTTATAAACTCAGGGAGATATATTTTGACATGACACTTTGGCAATGACAAGGAAAGATAGACATGTCAAATCTGATTTTCATTAAAACTTGTCTTGAAGAATTTAAGGCTTTTTGCCATTTGTGTTTCTTCTGAGCCTTGCCATCTGTACTGAAGCTACACCTGGGGTGACAGAGTCCTTTCATATAACTCCACAGATCAATATATGTCTTCCCTTTTTTCCAGATAGATTGAAGTGAAGTCCTTAAGAGTATTTACAGATTGGCTTTTCTATTCATATTCTTCAGGAGTTAGCAGGATGCACAGCACACAGTAAGTACTAACTAAATGTTTTCTATCCATTCATTCCATTCCAACTCAACAAACATTTATTTCCAGCATATATCGTAAGTCAGACACTGTGGAGATACAAATACAAAAAGAATGATTCTCCTACCCTCAAGGGGCTTATACTCCATAGGAGGTCAAACTGCACAAGAACAGATAAATAAACATTAAGTAATTTCAGAAAAGAAAGAACGCTTAACAACTGGGAGTCTTCAATGGGCAAGATAGAGGTTAGTGAAATATGACCTTTTCCTTAGAATTCTTACTCTGACCTATTTCCCCAATGAAAAGAACTTTAAGAAATCAGTGAGAACTCTTTATTTTAGAAAATGTAAATAAGATGCTGAAGAGATAAAGGATTTGATTTATTACTGAGTGTGTATTAGGTGTTTTAATAAATATTATTTGAATACAATTGAATTCTGAGCAACAAATTTCTGAAAGAATATTTAATATCATGCTATTGTACTCTTCAAAATACCATTTTCTCCAAGAGTTAATGTAACAGGAGGGGAGAAGTTTGCCTTTCAGATACCTCCCCCCACCTTTCCAATAGTCTTATACTCTACTCCTCAAAATTGTGACCAAGTCTGTATTCACAAGCCTTTCTAGCTTGGAAAGACCCACTGGAGCTTATGACATTGCTTTCAAGGATTTATATTATTTTCCACATCACAATTAAGATCTAGAACAAGATTTAACTCTTTAATTAAGAAAAAGACACATTAAGCTTTTAATTTCTTTCTACAATTGTGGAAGAGCTCACTTGAGTCTCCTGTTTCTGTCTTAGCATCCAATTCATACACACACCACTTTGTAATGCTTTTGATTCATGTTTAGTGTGTTTAAAGATTTGCCACTCTGAAGCAGTTGAGTTTTTATGTCCTTCAAAGGTATGTCTAGTCTGAGAAAGATACCACTAATGATATAGATATTAAGTCATGAAAATTTTACAAATTCACATCTACACAAGTGATTCAGTTAAAGGGTCTTTAATGTAATTTACATAAATGAAAAGCACTAAGAAGGAGGAGATTAATACAATCTATTCAGTTTTATATAAAACAGAGTGCTCTGCTGGGAATTCCAGCACTAATTTGGATCATACCCAGATTATCACCATCATCATCATCATCATCATCATTATCATCATCATCATCATCATCATTATCTTTTCCGAGAGAACAACAAAAATTGTTCAAATCATAACTGCAGGTTTCAAAAATTTAGCATCTTCCATATGCCTAGAAAGACCCAAGTAGCCAGAATTATAATCCAGAAACTCACTACCATTCAGAAAGTAAACGTATGACAAATCTTCATCCTACAAATACAAGGCCCAAAATCTTTGAGAATGTAACAAATAAATTTTACTGGATTTGGAAGATGAACACAGACAAAATTACTGATCACAATGGTTTGAACATAACATTGACTCAGGAAAATTGCAAAACAATACTTTAAATAGGTACAAGCACACTAAATATTCATAACCTCCAAACTGATTGGAATAAAAAGCTCTTAAACTATAAAAACCTAGCAGAAGAAATCAAAATCTTGTGACAAGAGGAAGGAACAAGTATCATCCCTATCATTCTCTTTACTACTGGAGCTGTGATAAAGATGATAGAGAAGGAGCTTCTATTTCAATCCTTTCATTCAATTGCAATAATCAATTATTTTATCCAACTGCTCAATAGTTGACCCCAAAAATAAATAGAAAAGCATAATAGGATGGCTACTTTCGGCAGACCGCTTATGTCTGAAACCGGTTGAACATACAGATGAGAAGAGTGAGATGATAATAAAGACAATGGTATTGTTAATAAACATAATGTAAATGTGTACTGGATAGAACCTTAAGATTTGCAAAGCACAGGAATCCAATTGTTTAGTGCCAGTGGAACATTGATTTCACAACTGACACTATCTCAAGGAACCATCCAGGAACAGGCATAGCTTTGCACTTCAGGAGATACTCTGAAATTGAAAGGTATTCTTTCTAATTCCCAATTTTTAAATTTACATACTAATTTCCTCACTAGATCTGTGTGAGATAAATAGTTTGTATTATCATGTCCATTGTACAGAGTAGGAAGCTGAGGGTCAGAAAAGCTATGTGACTAGTTCAAGGTCACATCCTAGTAATATCAGAGTGAGATTTAAACCCTGATCCTCTAACTGCAAATTCAGGGCTCTTTCCATTACAGACAACTTGCAGTTTTTGATAAAGTAGCTGGTAAAAGGCAAATAAAAATGTGAAGCCTGGTATTCTGACACCAACTCCTATGTTCTTTTTAGTATATGCCATGCTGTTTTTATGTTTGAAAAAGTACATGTGTGCAAATGGAATTCAGAGTATTCTCTCCAGTTATTGCTTTCATTAGGAGCAAATGCGCTTCTTCTAAATGGCAGGAAACAAAACTTTGATGGATTTAACATGTGTTCCAAATATCAAGATATGTAGTTCATTTCTGACGATTTCCTTGTTTATCTATTTTACCAAATTGCAACAGAAAGAAAAATACCAAAAGGCCCCAAGTTTTAATAAAAACCAAATGTTTGGGAAGAATACCTGAATTATCTGGAAGACATTTCCACTGCTACAGAGCTGAAGGAATGTTGCTGTTTCCGGATTTAAAGTCTTGGGACCTTTTCCTTTCAATATGGGAAGCTGAGTAATCTTTGTATCAACACTGTGCCACTTTTGATTATAGGTTAAAATCTGATGATGAGTGATGTATTGGTCATAGAGTCATCACAGGAAATTCAGTTTCCAAATTAGGCTCTCATTAAACAAATGGCGTTCTTTTAGCCAATGGCTCAGTTACAAAATGGGTAATTAGGAACAAATTTACGTGTCAATATGTAAATGACATATCCTAGAAATCAAATAATATAGCTGATGGGAGTTTACTTTCCTCAACACATGCACCTAAGGACTTTTGGCTTGTTGAAACTCAGTGGACATAATTCTCTCTTCAGCACACATTGCTGTTCTAACTAGGAATGGACTGAAAAATATTTCCTTTGGCTTACCCCAGAGTTTTCCACATCATCTTGACTGTGTGGTGATTGAGAAAGACTGCTGTGGGTGAAAATAACAATTTTGTAAGGCAGAGCACTGCACTAGAAAGGTCACTGTGCCTCTTATATCAAATGACCTGGGTTTAAAGACTCCGCTCTGTTACTTACTATTTGTGCAGCCCTGGGCAAGTCCCTACACCTTTCTAAAGACTCAGTTTCTTCATTTTTAAGATGGTGATAATAAATTCAGACCCTAAAAGGTTGTTATAGAGATCAAATGAAATTACTTCATGGGATACCTTGCAAAACTTAAAATGATGATGATGATGATGATGGTGATAGTAGTGGTAGTCTTCCATGATCCTTCCTGTTTGGCTCTTGATAGAAGCCATTACTATGTTCAAACATGATAATTTATAGAAGTAGTGTGGTATAGTGGAAAGATTAATGAACTTGGAATCAAGGACACTGGGTTCAGATCATGCCTTTGCTACTTACTATTCCTGTGAGTTTGGATAAACCACTGAACCTCTTTGGGCCTTAGTATTCAAAAATAAAGTTTGGGGTTATACTAGACCAGGGGTTCTTAAGTTTGTTTGTTTGTTTCTTTGTGTGTTTGTGCCATGGATCCTTTCTGTGATCTGGTGAAACCTATGGGCCCCTTTAAATATAGAATTTTCAAATACATACAATAAAAAAGGTAGGATTACAAAGAAAATCAATGATATACTGTTTTCGACATATTTAATTAACAAAAGCAAATTGGCAGACTTCAGTTTAAGGACCCAGTCTTTAAGGTCTCCTCCACCTTAATAATGCTGTTATCCTAGCCTGTTGTACTAATAGCTGAATCATGTTCTTTAGCACTTTTGATAATAAATGACACTTGAAAGGCATAGAAAAAAACAAAGTAGGAAGCCTGGGAGAGAAATGCTGTAGAGGTTAGGAAAAGAGCCTTGCCCCAGTGTAATCAGTTCACCCAAGTTCTTCACAAACATTCCATTATCCAAAGGAAAATCAAGCTTGGTCCATTCAACTCTAACCAAACAATACCTTCACACATGTAGTCACTTTTCTTCTTTAAAAGAAAAGGAAACTCATCCAATAGCAGATTAAAAAAGGGTCAGCAATAAAGCCCTGGCAAAGTTAAATGCAGGAAGCCAGCATACAATATCTTTCTTTACATCACTATTAGAAACACCTTAAAGGGAGAGGAATTGTTAGTCTAGGGGATGATTCTACAGAAGCAGCAAAACCCAGAATTAAGGGCACCATGCTGGAGATCAAAGGGAGTGGTTTTCGTCTTTAGCAACTCTTTGATGTTTAGGTCTCTGCATATGCCATGTCTCCAGGTCTTGTACCATATGCCCTACTTTACAGATCTCTTTTTTCAATATCAGACTGAGTCACAACTTGGGGAGATGGATAACTGGAAAGAGCAACCAGGAATTTTGTCTACCTTGAACCCTCAGAGTGGGAAGTCAATAACCAGTTATCTTAAAAAAGATTTTCTCTCTTTTCTCATAAACCTAACTAAGAGATAAATACTGCTGGGGCAAACGGAAAAGGCGTTAATTTTTTTTTAATGTGCTTTTTCTCTTTCAATTCAATCATTTCAATGTTATCTACCTATGCAATAAAAATACAATCTCTATAATCCTAATGCATTTAGAACACCTGTAAGTGTACTTTAAAAAAAATGAATGTATCTTCTTTAATTTCTCCTGCAAATTTTTGTTCTTAGAAAATGGAGATTCTGCACATAGCATGAAAAGGCCACAGAGAAAAGTAAAGATAGCATACATAGAGCAATATTTATAGCAGCAATCTTTATGATAGTACAGAACTGAAAATCGAATGGAAGCTCATAAACTGGGTAGCAGCTGAACAAATTGTGGTATAGAAATGTAACAGAATGTGATTGACACATAAGAAATGATGACTGAAGAATTGATAAATATCAGAAGTCTTGTATAAACTAATACAGAGCAAAGAAAGCAGAATCAGGGGAATAATATGTAAGATATCCCCAAAACCTTAGTGCCATTTAAGCTTTAAGCTAAGCTTAAATGGCATTAAGACCTTGGAGACGTTCTGCATATGACTAGATAACACAAAGGAAAACAACACTAAAAAGATAGTAGAATTCAGATCAATCTTCACACTGGAGAAATTGTGAGGAAACATACCTGTCTTCTAATGGAGTTAAAAAAAAAAACCCAGAGCATTTGGAGTTAAGAGAACTGGGTTTAATTTGTAATTCTACTTCTTATAACCTAAGTGACATTGGAGAGGTCATTTATAGTCTTTGAACCATAATTTCCTCATCTGTAAAATAAGTGGGTTGAACTAGATGATATCTGAAGCCCTTTCCATCTCTAAATCTATGTTCCTATTACCCTCTTGTTAGAACTAAAATACAATATTAGGCATATATACTATCAGACACTGTCAATATATTGATTTGCCTTTCTTAACTTTATTTCTTTCTTACAAGAAAGGTTTCTATGGTAGCAGGGAGAGATAGTATTTTGAGAAGTGACAGTAATACAAATAAACTACAATTTTAAAGAATGTTTAAAAAATAAGAAAGAATGGAACCTTTCCTCATTATTCCTTAAAAACCACTACCACATCCTGGTTTCATGAACAAAATCATGACCTATCTAGATTTGTATCTGGTGTCATACATAAGTATGAAAGGATATATCTTCAAAAAATTTTATGTGTCCAGGTAGAGTCAACAACATATTGTAAAGCTGCCTAGTGAAACTTTGCTTGGAGAGTATTTTTTTGTTTTGTTTTTAAATTAAACCCCCATTTGCCTGAGATCTCCCAAGAGCATCAGAGCATGTATGAACACTACCCTCCCACAACAAATAATCAGAAACTGTACAATTTGTTATGGTCCTCTCTGCCTCTTTGCCATACTACAAGGCTTTAAATTCAAAAGGAATCAGCTATGATTGGATTATGATTATTATTCAGGAGCATATCCCAGCGTAAACAGTATGCTCTCACATACTTCCATCCCTGACTTCAGAGTAAAGCAGACCACATAGTTTACTGGTATAAAAGGAAATAGTTTTTACTTACTGTGGAATCTTGGGTCTTCCCCTATACAATCATCTTTCTAGAAGAGAAACAAAATGTAGCAGTAACTGTTCCTTAAAAAGGTCTGTCATTTAGAGAAGCAATAAAACTTCTCAATATATGGATTTCATTCCTGATGTATAATAGCGAGATTCAGCCCTGGTCTTATGTAGGAATCCCAGTCCCCATAGTTAGTATGTAACCTTGTACAAGAAATGACCTCTTTGTGAAATAACCTAATGTAAGGATTCACATAGCTTTGGTCCACATAGGGTGAGGACATGAAACATCACCACCAAGGAGTTGTAAACATAACCATCTGCCAGGATGTGATGTGCTATCAACTCCCAGCATTTGTCCCTTGAGCTAAACCTTCTTTCCCTGGCATGTGAAATCAATCTCAAATTACCAGCACAGATCTGTAAAAGATGCATGGTTACCTTGAGACTCCTGAAAAGCTAGGACACACAATTTCTCCCAATAAAAAAAGTCATAGTGTCTAATAGCCATGCCCCTGGCATTCCCACTCTTAATTCACAAAATCTTTTAGCTCTGCTATGTATAGAAGAGATATGTGAGCCTTTAGAAAAACTGCTAGCATACATCATCCTAAGGAATGACCCAGATAACCTAGTCTGAGTGCTAGAGGTAATCCTGATATTGTCTCTCACATTTTGACAGTGCCTGTGCCAAAGGGGCCATCCACTATCCTGTGAATATGGCAACCTAAATCACAGAAAGGATCAGCAGCAAACAATATTTTCTTAAACTCCAAACGTACATGAACCTCTGGTATAGGTAAGGTAATTGATTTTTCCTAGAGAATAACTGAGGTAAAGAAGGAAGAAAGGAAGGAAAGGAGGAAAGAAGGAATAAAGGAAGGATGAATGAAAGGGAAAGAAGAAGGGAAGAAGGAAGGAAGGAAAGAAGGAAGAATGGATGGATGGGAGAGAGAGAGGAAGGAAGGGGGGAGTAAGGAAGGATGGATAGGAGAGAGGAAGGAAGGAAGAGAGAAAAAAGGAAGAGAGGAAGAAAAGAAGGAAGGATAAGAAGAAAAGAGAGAACATGGAGGGAGATTGTCAGGCAAAAAAAGAATTAACCAGAGCTATCATTTTTTTATTTAGAAATTAATATTAATATCAACTTTACCTTTACCTTTTTCATTTTCCTGCAGGGAAACAAATGTCTCTTCCTCTCTTAGTGCCATGGGAAAACATGTGACAATGTAAACTCACAGTTGAAACAAGCTCAGTGGGAGTTGTAAAGGAAAAGGGCAGGCCAGATTTATCAGAAGAATATGCAACATATATTGAACGTTAGTCTTTCCAAGTTGTTAACAGTGTTTAGTACAAATGTTTCTCTTTAAAGAATCAGATGTTCCTCCTTTTTATTTTTCAATGCCTCCAGGATGGTAAAGCTGGTGCCATAAAGTCATTGCAAGGGACAGCAAACAACTTTGTTATTGTAACGGGCTTTCTTTAAACAATAGGTGTAGCAGGTGGCATGTGGCTACAACTGGGTCTATCACCATCTCCAGGGTGCCAAGATGTCCCTCAAAGTTTCTGTGGGAGGAATTTGTTGGTGGGATTTGGATTGTAAAGGCACGCGAGCATCTGCTGCCTACCCGGTCTCATTACCATTCACACAATTAACTCCTGCCGCTCTCAGCCCAGCAGCCAGGACCACGGACTCGGTTTTACTGCTTCTTCCACAATACTCATTATCATTCATCTGGACTTCGAGTTCTTCTTCTTTCAACTCTGGGGAAAGTTTGCTTGGAAAATTGATCACATGCAGAAAGAGGCTTGTCATGGAGAGAGAAGAAAGAGAAAAAATGCTTCTAAGAACCTGAATGGCTGCCGTCTGGCCCGTGCCTTGGGTAAAGGTGGAAGCTCTGAGATTTTGATTTTTACTACTTTCTGAAAAAAATCATGCTTCTTTGCATTAAGACTGACCATCTTCAGTGAAGGCTCCTAATATATTTGTTTCAATAAAACTAGTTTATTTATTCTAACTTTCAATTCTACTTTTTTGGTCATCCCAAAGCACTTTGGCCAAGAAGCCAAACTCTCTGATAAACTCTTTAAGACTATTATGCCCTAGATGATTAAGCAGATTGTACAAATGAGCAAGTGCTAGAAAAGTTTAAAATAAATAAACAAAAAATGTTTTAGAAATACCTTATGGCATCTGTCTGACACCTCCCTCCTTTAAAAATTTCTGCTGGTTTCAGGAGTCAACATGAAGCCACAAAAATGCCCCTGGAACACTATCAGAAAACTCAAAGCAGGACTTATCCTTTAACGGCTATGCCTCATGATAAATATTAATAAAACTGCAGTTATTAACATTTTATGTTTAACTGGAATGAGGTAATAATATATGATACTTTCTAGCCTCAAGAAATAAGTCCGTGTGTTTTATGGAGATATAGAATCAACCAGGATGTAATTTCCCCATAATATATAGGAAATACAGACTAAGACAGTCACATTTTATCTAGAGTATATATATATATATATATATGTTTTTTCATTTGTTTGTTTTAAGAGAGGTCCAGAACAATCTGACTTCACGATGAACCAGGCTGTTTTGTTTGAAACAACAAAAGAATTATTAGGTCATCTCAAAACTGAGGGAGCAGGGTCACATTTTTAAAGTTATGAAGCTGTTCATTCACAATCTACAGAAGCATTACATTCAGGAAAAAATGTGTTTATGCAACTGTTTCTTTCTGTAAGAAAAAAACTTTATGCTCATAATTACTATTAGAAACATAATCATAATAATTACCATTTACTACAGAGAACTTAACAAATACAGAGCACTTGATGGTTTGGTAAACTGAGGCATCAAATCATCAATGTTGAGACAAAGTGGTAAAACATAGCATAAAATGATTTGGGAATTAGAACGTTGGGGTAATATCCTTGCTTTTCACACGTACATGCTTATGAAAATTTAGGAAAATCACTTAATTTCCCTGGATCTCAGTTTCTTCACATGTAAAATGAAATGGTGGGATGAGATGCCCTCTGAGTTTTCTTCTAACTCTGTAGCCTTATTACCTGATTTACTTGCTTGTTAAAGGCATATTTTCATAAATATTTTTAAAGCTTTGGGGACTGATATGGAAAAAATGAACAGTAACAGTCTCTAAGGAACATAAGGGGAAATTTGTACTCAGTTCAATTTAAGAAAAAAAAAATCTTAAGTGTCTACTCCATTGGACATACTCTGTGAGAAGCTGGGGATAAAATGACCAAAAAAAAAAAGAAAAGAAAAGAAAAGAAAAACAGCTCCCATCCTCAAAAAGCTTTCATTCTAAGAGGATTTTGTTTTTAGAATCACTTCCTGAATTTTCATTTAACCAATTTTCATTTTTACCATTCAACATTTTTTTTAAAACAAAAGCAAAAAAAAAAAAAGAAAAAAGAAAATTTAATCTCAAGCCACTTCAAGGACACATCTGTTTAAATGAGACACTATTTGTAAAGCACTTAACACAGTAACTTGCACATAGTGGACACTTAATGAATGCCTCCCCCATCTTTCTTCACCTTCATCCCGTTTTTCTCTACTGGTTTACTCACATACACATGACATTCCATCTCCCTTCTAGGCACCTTGGTGCAAGCTGACCCTATAAAGTAATGTTTTTCCTCCTCACCACACACCCATTAGAACCAGGCACTTCCTTCTTCAACTTAACTCAGCTAGTGTCCTCTCACACAAGAAGTCTTCTGTAATTCTGTTAAATCTTAATAAACGCCCCCCCCATTTCTTAATATTCATTTATTTTTCTGCTTGCCTATCGGTGTGCATGTTGCTTCCTTTGTATTTTTGCACTTCAGACATTTAATAAATGCCTGTTGAATGAAATTAAACTGGTCTCAAATCTGACAATATATTATTTGAGAATAATCTTCATTTTAGATCTTGCTTCTTTATAAGTCAATCAGCCACTTTGGAACTTATTTACTAAATTAAGGGGTTGGAGTAGATGACCTAGAAAGTTCCTTCTAATTCTAAGTCTAGAGGGATGATGCGGCAAAGTTACATAGAGAGCCGGACTCCAACACTAAAGAGTTTAAATTTTTTAACACATGCTGGCTATGTGACCCTAGGCAATTCACTTCACCCCTCAATGCTCTCCAAGGATTCTTAATCACTGGGTATCATGGAAGTGTTTGGCTGTCTCATGGCACCTGTGAATTATTTTTCAGAATAATGTTTATAAATGAGTAAAATCCATAGAATTATAAAGGAAAATAACTTATTGACACACAGTTATCGATTTTAAAAACGTTCATAAATTTCAGATTAAGAACTTCTGTGAACTTAGAAAAATCTCTCAAACTAAGTTATGAAAAATGTGCTAACATCCATTGATTCCTGAGGTGGGGAAGCTCCCTCAAACCCATAAAATTGTAGCTTATGCGCCTCTCTCCTATCCAATAGGATAGGATGGCTAGAACTTGCTGCCCAAGATGACAAGCCAAGCTTCTCTCAAAAATATTAATGCCACTTATCTTCCAGGATACAAAGAATATTTTTCAGAACCAACCTTAGCTATAGAGACAGGAAGTTGGTTAGGAATGTGATCCTTAACCTGAGAGAGAGGTAAGGAAGCTTTACATAGGCAAGGAAGAAAAAGACATTCCGTGGCTGCTCAGTGACCTGGAAGAGTAGACTTTTGGCCAGATTGTTTTAGACCTTGCTCCCTTGCATGCTCCCCAATCATTTCTTACCAATGGTCATCCAACTTTGTTTACTGAGTACTGTCAGGTGTGAGGAGAGCACTGAATTTGGAGCCAGGCAATTTCTGTTTCAGTTCCACTTCAGCCATTTAACATATGTGTGATAGCCAATTCACTTGACTGTGCCTCAGTTTCCTCATTGATCACTATTGATCTTTAAAGTCCTTCAAATTTCAAGTTTTATGATTCCAAAGGAGACTCCCTAGCAATAAAAAAGTAAGTCTCCACTGACAGTAATCTTACACCAAATGCTGCAGAAGTCTGACATGGCATATTATTATCTGAGCTACTGAAACACCAACAGCTATCTGTTTTAACTTAATTAGTTCCTTCATCAAACAAAATGTTTAAAATTTCAAAATCAGTTAAATTTTTGATCCAGGTGTATTTCTTTATTATGAATTCATAAGAGCATACCAGTGAGTAAATCCAAAACAGACAGATTTTTAAGCTACATTTTCAATTGTTAGTTAATTGAAGAGAGAAAAAGAAATGGCCCATAAACAACACAGTTTGTGGACTTGCTGTCTATTTTCTCTAGGGTCACAAAAAAAAAAACAGATGGAGATCCAAGCTTCTTTGTATTAATCAATTACCACCTCTCAGTTTTTCAGACAGAAATCTCTCCTTGTTGTTGAATCTTTTCAGTGATGTCTGACTCTCCATGACCCCATTTGGGATTTTCTTGGCATACTGGAGTAGTTTACCATCTCCTTCTCTTGCTCATTTTACAGATGAGGAAATGGAGGCAAACAGGATTAATTGACTTGCCCAGGGTCACATAGTTAGTAAGTATCAGAGGACAGATTTGAACTCATGCAAATGTCTTCCTAACCCTAGCCCTTGCACTCCATCCACTGTGCAACCTAGCTGTCCTGAAATCTCTCCTAAACAATTACTAAATTAATAGCCGGTACTTCCTCTCTAGTTTAAAAAGATGGTAACATCTGAGTGTTCATGAAAATGTTTTCTGAAAAAGCAGTGCTTGTCCTGATGTGAGGCAAATCCCTGAATAGTTGCAATGCATAATGGAATAGCTGGAGTAATTTCTTTATAAATTAAAGAATATACCATGTTTTTAATAGTTTCATTATTGGAATTTAAAGGAATTTGGATTGGGGAATTCCACACATATACCCATCTAGGCCTTGTCAACTTTCATTCTTCCAGTTGATGAAAATGGGTCAGATTCTATTAAATGGAAATACTGCCATGGTGGCTTGTTAAGAAAAACCTGTATGTGTCATCAACAGAATAAGTTTAGTGAACCTGGGTTGGGGCATGACTAGCTGCATAATATCCTAGTTGTTTATCAATTTTAAAAGGCCATAGATGAAGGTTTTGCTGTTGCATGCCCTTTTAAGACCACCATGTTATTACAATATTGTTTGACTGTTTTCCCTTACAAAAGTCTCCTTAAATCATGAAATAAATCTATTAAGCAAATGCAAAAGAATTCAAGCATACACAGTATGGCATATGGGTAATTTCCATTAAAGAATTTTTATGTGTGGATAAAAGTGAAACTTGCTAGAAAAGAAATGCCAAAGTCTAAATGGATTTGAGAAAGTGCTATTGTGAATAAATATTACACTGGTTAAGCTCTGTGGGCAAGTTTAATATTATTGCTAGTGATTAACCCTTCAACTTCCACACATGGTTTAAATGCTAATACTTTAGAGGAGCCATAAAGATTGTGGCTCAGTAGAGAGCTGGGGTAGACTTTTGTATTGAAAAAATCTGCTTTGGTTCATTATAGTTTCTTTGCTAAGGAACTTTTATTTTTAAAAGACTTTTCTGATGAACAATTGTTTCACAAAATATATTTAAGATGTTAAAGGAACAGAGGTCATGTCATTAACAAAGTAAGCAACAACAACTCCCAGACGTATTACAGTATTTTAGATTAGTATTGTTCTATTTACAAAAAAAGGGAAGAAATGGAAGAAGGATGGAATGAAGGTGAAGAGAAGGGAAGGGAAAAGAAGAGAAGGGAAAGTAAAGTAAGGAAAGAGAATGGAAATGAAGGGAAAGAAAAGGGAAAGAAAAAAAGGAAGGAAAAGAAAAGGAAGGAAAAGGTCAGATAGCAAATAGTGCAATGAAAAAAATATTTTATTGCATTACTAAATTGTTATTGTACATTTTTATAGATTTTTCCTTAATAATTCATACATCTTTCTTCAGATATTAGTAACTGAAAATTCATTCATTGATCAGAATGTCAATGAAAATGTTATTCCTTTTTAATCAAGAAAGTAATTAATTTGTGAAGAACTTGCGCCTAGATTCTCATATATGGTTGGTATTTAATGATTCCTTTCCATAGATTCCCCCCAAATTAAGAAATTATTTTAATTCAGTGGTATTTTTTAATTAATAAAATATCCAGTGGGAATATAGAAGATAATAATAAAGTCATATTTTGTGTGTTGAAATAAATTAATTTGAAAAGAGTGATGCTTATATTCATATACATAATTCTACAGACATCTGCTATCAGCAGTGTATGTGTAGATGGTCAAGGTGAGTCCTTAGACATGAAACAGGCCAAAAGTAAGTGACCCTTCACTGGAAGGACCTTATTAACCAGAGATGACTCTGGAGCATAAACCTTAGATTTACCTCTTAAAATCTGGCTAAGGTCATCAATGATTAATTTTTTTCTTAAATTTTATTCTGTATTGAAACAAAAATTAGCCTTCTTTCTCTTCCACTTTCCCCCATGCTCCATTAAGAAAGCAAAAAGAAAAACAGTTTTTTTTTCTTTTTTGGTTAGGCAGTTGGGGTTAAGTGACTTGCCCAAGGTCACACAGCTAGTAAATATCAAGTGTCTGAGACTTGATTTAAACTTAGGTCTTCCTGACTCCAGAGCTGGTGCTCTATGCACTGCACCACCTAGCTCCCCCCAAAAAAAATTCTTGTTAAAAACATGTATATAAAAAAAAAACATGTTAAGCAAAACAAATTTTCACATTGGCTATATTTTTATTTATTTTTAATTTGTGAAACCACGTATTTCCATCACATAGTAGAATAAAAAATATCATTGCACATGAAACTGCAAATGCATTATGTACAACTTGCTATTTCTTTCAAATATATGATAAAGCTATCTTGTAACTTTCTTTTTCTTTCTTTTTTTCTCCCTCCCTGCCCTAGAGATGGCTACCATTAGACACAAATATATGTGTAAGTATATATGTAAAAATCATTCAATACATACTTCTATTTATCAGTGCTTTCTCTAGATGCAGATAAGCGTCTTCCTTCGAAGTTCCTTTGTAGTTAATTTGGATATTTATAATAGTCAAAATGACTTAGTCACTCAAAGTTGTTCTTAAAACAACATTGTTGTTACTGTATACAACTTTCTCCTGGTTCTGCTGATTTCATTCTTCATTATTTCACTCAAGTCTATCCATGTTTTTTCTAAAATCCATGAGTTCATCATTTCTTCTAGCACAATAGCATTCCATCACAATCATGTACCACAACTTGTTCAGTTATTCCCCAATTAGTAGAAATCTCTGCAACTTCTAGTTCTTTGCCACCACAAAGAGAGCCGTTATAAATATTTTAGAACATATAGGTTCTTTTCTTTTTCCCCTAATCACCTTTGGAAACAGACAGAGTAATGGTATTGCTGAGTCAAAGGGTATATGCAGTTTGTTAACACTTTCAGCACAATTTCAGATTGCTCTCCAAAATGATTAGATCACTTCATAGTTCTACCAACACTGAATTAGTGTCCCAATTTTTCCTCATCCCCTCCAATATCTGTCACTTTCTCCTTCAATCATTTTAGCCAATCTAATTGACTAAACTGGATTTTAAAATTTGCATTTCTCTGATTAATAGTGATTTAGAGCATTTTTTTCACATGAATATAAATAGTTTTTATTTCTTTATTGGAAAACTGCCTGTTCATATCCTTAGACCATTTATCAATTGGGGAATGACTCATATTCTTATATATGGTACAAAGTTCTTTATATACTTGAGATATGAGAACTTTGAGAAATTGTCTATAAGATTTTCACCCAATTTTCTGCTTCCCTTCTGATCCTGGCTACATTTGTTTTATTTGTACAAAACCTTTTTAATCTAATGGAATTGAAATTACCCATTTTCCTATTATTACTATTATTGTTGTTATTATTGCTATTATCCATTATCCTAACTTTGCTCTCTCTCTTGTTTATTCATAAACTATTTGCCTATCCATAAAAGTGACAAGTAATATGTTCTGTGTTTTTCAATTTTTCTTGAAATCTCTTTCTTTATATCTAGGTCATTTATCATTCATATCTTATCCTGGTAAGAAGTTTAAGACATTGATCTATGCAAAATTTCTTCCAGATTGCTTTCTAATTTTCCCAATTCTTTTTTTTTTTTTTTTTTACCAAATAATGAATTCTTATTCCAAAAACTTAAGTCTTTACACCGGTCAAATACAATGTCATAATATTCATTTACTGCTGTACATGTATGTCCATTCTTTTCTACTGATCTACTTTTCTATTTCTTAGACAGTACCAGTTAGTTTTAGTGATTACTGCCTTGTAATATAGTTTAAGATTTGGCATATGTATGTATGTATGTATGTATGTATGTATGTATGTATGTGTGTATATGTGTATGATTGTAGATGCTCTGGTCTGGAATCTCCTCTATCCCTGTTGTTCAGCCTTTCCCTAGAAGCTGGAGTGGTACACATCATGCTCCTGGATGGAACTATCCCCATTGCAGGTCTGCAGACTGCTCCCCATCTGTCTCCTCATGCCAACACAGACTGGGCAAAGGACTCAATGTGAAGTTTTATTTTTTTCTGGATTTCCCCATCAGGATTCTTTCTGGTGCAATTTCTGGATCTATCAGGTATAGTTTGTAAATAGGATGTTGTCACACTGTTTCTAATTACTCTGTTATCTTGGCTCTGCCCTATTTACTAATCTCTTAATTGTTAAATTCCATAATATATTATTTCATTCTTTTTTTCTTTTCATTCTTGACCTCTCTGAACCATCTGATTCAGTGGAACATTCTCATGTTCTTCTTAGGGTTAACTGATGAGAATACTTATGCCAATGATCCAACCATTCCTTTGCAGGTTTATAATTCATGCTCCATTCCCTGTATGTTAGCAATACTATAATGTTTCTATCATAAGCCTTCTCTCCTTTTGTACTTTTAACTTTCAGAATCATCTCTTCAGCTTCCATGAATTCTACTATCATCTTTATGCAGATGACTTATAAATCTACAACTTTTCATCTCTTTCCTGATCCTTGACCCAACTTCATCAACTTCCATGCTAAGCATCTTTACCTATACGACTCATAGACATTTCAAAATTAATAATTCTAAAAAGGAATTTGTTATATTTTACCCTAAGTTGACTTCTCTTCCTAACTCTTTATTTTTTTCCAAGGTACCAATATCTTTCCAGTTACCCAGACTCACAAACAGACCTATCATGAATGTAACACTCTCCCTCCTCTCTTTTTTGCCCTTCCTCCCCATCATATCCTACCAGTCTTTGATGATTGGACCCTCCACATCATCTCTAACATCCACCTTTTCCTTTTCACTTAAATGACCACCTCCCTAGTAAGGCACCTCTTTCTTGGGCTACAGAAACTGTGTCCTAATTGATCTGCTTCCCCTTACTCTCTCTTTTTTTCCAGTCAATCATGTACATAGCTGTCAAACTAATATCCCTAAAGCATAGGACTGCCCACATCACTCAGTTGCTTAAGATGTTTCAGTAACTCCCCATTATCTTTAGGATTGATTACACACTTCTTTGGCATTTAAAATTCTTTGCGATCTGACTCCAGCCTATATTCCCAGACTTACTTTATATTACTCCCCCTCAGAGCCTCTCCATTCCAGCTAAACTACCCCACTTGTTATTTCTTACACATTTAAAGATCTTTCAGTCTCTTAACTCTGTTATGCTTTGACTCCTTCAAGTCTCAACTTCTGCTACCTCTTATCAGAGGATTTCCCTGATTCTCACAGTTTTTGTGACATCTCTAAATTTATTTGTGTGCATGTGATAAATACAGATATCTGTAGATAAGCATGTATACATTCATACACATATTACTATATGTCATAATTTTATGTTCTATTAAATATTTTACATATTTATTAAATGTATATTTTGAATTTATTTATTTTTGTTGCTTCCTCACACAAGAATGGCAACTCCTGGAAGGCAAGGACTGTTTGATTTTTGTCTTTGTCTTCTCAGTCTTTCATATAGTGCCTGGCATATGTGAGGAACAACAATAAAACAAAAAAAAATTAAAAAAACAAAAAAAAATCCAAGGTGTTGAACTGAATGACATACAATAATTGTGTGACCCCGGGCAACTCATCTATACTCTTAAAGCTCTAGGAAGCTTTCTAGGATTAAATGTGGCAACGAAGGCGCACACCTGAATTGGTAGAGACAGTTTCCTCATCTGAGAGTTTCCTACACCAGTGAAATAATAGCTCAGTGCTTACCTCTATTCTCTACTCATGACTGCTCAAGGGTTATTGTTGTTTCAGTCATTTTCAGTCACGTCCAACTCTTCATGACCCCAATTCGGGTTTTCTTGGCAAAGGTACTGGAAAGATTTGCCATTTCCTTCTCCAGTTCATTTTACAGATGAGGAACAGAGAAAAACAAAGTTATTTACCTAGGGGTCACACAGTTAGTAAGCATCTGAGGCCAGATTTGAACTCAGATCCACTTGACTCCATGGCTAGTACTCTATCCACTGTGCCACCCAGCTGATCCACAGACAAATAAGGGGGAAGAAGACTTTACTTGTTCTCTCCTTAAGCCTTCCATCAAAATACAGTACATCAGCATTGATTTTTTTTTTAGTTTATTTTCATTTACCAACACTAACTTCCATAAGCTTTTGAGTTTAAAATTTTTCTCTCCCTTTCTCCTCCCCCCCTTCCCCAAGATGGCACACAATCTGATATAGGCTCTACATATACACTCCTATTAAACATATTTTCACATTAGTCATGTTGTAAGGAAGAATTAGAACCAATAGGAGGAACCACAAGGAAGAGGAAACAAAACAAAACAGAAGAAAAAAATAGAAATAGTATGCTTAGATCTGCATTCGGACTCTATAGCTCTTTCTTTGGATGTGTATGGCATTTTCCATCATGAGACCTTTGGAGATATGTTAGATCCTTGCATTGCTGAGAAGACCTAAGTCTATTAACATTAGTCATCACACAATGTGACTGTTACTGTATACAACATTCTCCTGGTTCTGCTCACTTCACTCAGCATCAGTCCCTACAAGTCTTTCCAGGTTTTTCTGAAGTCAGCTTGCTCATCATTTCTTATAGCACCACAGTATTCCACTACATTCATATATCACAACTTGTTCAGCCATTCCCCAACTGATGGGCATTCCCTCAATTTCCAATTCTTTGCCACAACAAAAAGAGTTGATGTAAATATTTTTGTTCATGTGGATCTTTTTCCCATTTGTATGATCTCTTTGGAATACAGCCCTAGAAGTGCTATTGCTGGGTCAAAAGGTATGCACATTTTTATAGTCCTTTGGGCATAGTTCCAAATTGCTCTCCAGAACGGTTGGGTCATTCCACAACTCCACCCACAATGCATTAGTGTTCCAATTTTCCCACATCTTCTCCAACATTTATCATTTTCCTGTTTTGTCACGTTGGCCAAGTTGATAGGTATGATGTGGTACCTCAGAGTCATTTTGATTTGCATTTCTCTGATCAATAGTGATTTAGAACATTTTTCCATATGACTGTAGATAACTTTAATTTCATCTGAAACTGCCTGTTCATATTCTTTGACCATTTATGTATTGGGGAAAATTTAATGCTTTAAAATAATTATTAACCCATTTACTAGGAAACATTTATTGATTGTGCAGTGTAAGCTCCTTGAGGGCAGGAACTATTTCATTTTTTTCTATGCATCTCCAGTGCCTAGCACAATACATTGAATAGGGTAGATGCTTAATGAATCGTTGTTGATTGATTGACTACACAATCTCTTGTATTTTCTTGGATTTGGGTTTCCTGTTTTATAAAATTCAATTATTATATGCTACCTCTGCTGACCCAGGAAATATTGTCTCAGTACTTGCCATTCTATCATCAAAGGCTCTAAAGAAATAAACAGTAAAAATAATTAGGTGCATCTACCTTTTGTGCCAAATTTAAGCAGTCAACAACAAGATGTCCTCACAGGCAGCATACATCACCTACTTGGTTTAGATGCTATTTAAGCATGCAGATTACTTTTTTAATCAATCAATCAATAAGACAATTCAATACCAAATGCCAGGAATTCATAAAGAAATCCTTCCCAGCACTGTATCTTTCTGGCAGCTTCCCTTACAGAACCTGACACCCAAGCTGAAAATGTGAAGTACCCATAATCCTTTCTCAACTTTCCCTGACCTTAGAGAATTTCAAGCCATTCTCAGGCTAGCTACTCTAATCCCTGGGTTTTCATTATAGAGCTTGGTGTTGTTTAGGTAATTGGTATAAAACAGAGCCTCAAGGACTCTGGAAACACAAGGGAATATTAAGGTATAAGGCACAGCTGAAGTGTAGGCCTTGCCACTCATGAAAGTTATTTCCTAGGTCTTTTCATCATTGAATATATTCAGGCCACAAGTTTGTAGGAATAATAAAAAACTAATGTTTTATATAGTGCTTTAATGTTTGTGAGACATATTAAGCACATTATCTTTTTTAAACCTCATAATAGTCCTGTTAGATTGGTACTACAAATGTGCTTTATTTCCACTTTACAGATAAGGAACCCGAGACGGTGAGAGGTTGTGGCTTGCCTATCATCACTCAGCTAATAAATATTAGATGCATGTTTAGCTATAGACTTATTGACTCCAAATCTAACACCCTACCCACCCCACCATGCTGAATTTACATCATTTAAACATTTTCCCATATGTACGTAATATATATCTATCTCTATTTTTCTATCTATCTATCTATCTATCTATCTATCTATCTATCTATCTCTCTATCATCTATCCCCACAGATCAGAGCCTCTCCTACTGACATGAAAAACCTGGGTACACTTTGAAGTCCTCTCACAAATTTCTTTGGCCGGTCTACATCCAGCTAGATAAGCACTGGGAACTTTAGTATATTGCTTTTATTTTTCTTACCCCTAAAGCAGCCATCGTTTACCCCTTGCAAGCATTCAGTCTCACATAGCTTTAAAAAAAAAAGCTCATTTATACAGTAAAAATCACAGAAAGGATTTGCACATCAACCCATAGAGATTCCCTTCCCCTCTTCCTGTACTTACAGAAATTCCTGTTACTCATAGTACAGTCCCTATGGCTCACTCCACTATACTTCATTCCACTTTGTTTTTAATTATTAATATTCTGTTAATTCAGAACCTTAGTTAACTATGATATTAGCTTTTTCTAGTATGACCTTCCTTCTATTCCATAGTTCTGCCTGGCTACTTCTTCCTCCTATATATTATTTTCTCTGGCTTTCCACCCTACATGTCCACAGGTCCCATCTTCTTCCCTTGATCGTTGAGACTGGCTCATTTCTTTCATGTAATACTACATTTCTCAAACTTTCATCACCTCTCTGGAGTTTTTTTTTCTTTTCAAGTCAGCTTTCAAATCCTTAATCTATATGGTTGAGGTAGGAAAAGAAAAAGAGACCAAAGGATTATAGGACCATAGATTTGGAGCTGGAAGGAGCTCCAGATGCCACCAAGGCTAAACCCCTCATTTTACAGGTGAGCAAACTGAAGCTCAGGGATACTAAGTAACTTGCCTAAAACTATACAGCTAGTAAATATCTGATTCAAGATTTGTCTCTGCCACCCTCTGCCCAAGACTTCCTATACATTAATAAATGAATTAAAAAAACATATATTAACAGTGTACGCAAGTAAATGAGCATAGTCACAGAGTATTTAATAAACCTGAAGATCTCAGCTAATGGAATAATCACTTACTATTTGACAAAAACTTTTTTTGAGAAAACTAGAAAGCAGCCTAGCAGAAAGTAGACATAGACCATCATTTCAGAGTATGCATGAAGGTAAGTTCAAAATGGGAACATGATTGAGACATAAAAGGTGATGATATTGTAAGAAAATTAGTGGAACACAAAAACATTTTCCTGCCAGGTCTATGAATAAGGAAAGAGTTCATGACCAAACAAAAGACAGAGAGATTCATACAAGGTAAAATGGATAATTTTAATTATATAAAATTTTAAGAAATCTACAAACAAAATTATGCACCTATAATTAGAAGGAAATAAGAAACTGGGGGAAAATGTTTGTAACAAATTTCTCTGATGGTTTCATTTCTAAAATGTATATGGAATTGCATCAAATTTATAAGAATCAGATCTACTTGCTAATTGTTTAATGGTCAAGTGATATGAATAGAAGCTTAAGGATGAAATTAAACTGCTCAATAGTTTACAGGGAAAAATCTTGTAAATCACTAATAATTAGAGAAATAAAAGAAACAAATTTGAGGCAACACTTCACATTTATTACATTGGCTAATATGACAAAAATATAAAATTATAAATGATGGCAGGGATGTAGGAAAATAGGTATATGAATGCACTGTTAGTGGGGTTATGAACTAGTCCAACTATTCTGGGAAAGCATTTGGAGCTACGCCATAAAGCTATTAAATAATATATAAGTTTTGTCCATCACAATACCACTAGTAGGATGATATCGCAAAGAGATCAAAGAAAGAGGGAAAGGACCCATATATACAAATATATTTAAGTTAGCTCTTTTTGTAGTGAGAAATAAAAACCAAGGGTATATCTATCAATGGGGTAATGGCTGAACAAGTTATAATATATGAATGTGCTAGAATTCTTTTCTGCTATAAGAAATGATGATGGGGGCGGTTTCAGAAAAAATAAAAAACCTGGAAACATTTGTATAAACTGATGTAAAATGAAGTCAGCACAAACAAGAGAAAAAGTTATAATACAGTAAGAGCAATATTATGAAGATAACAAACTTTAAAATACTTAGTAACCCTGATAAACACAATGACCAACTGCAAGTCCAAAGGACTCAGGAGGAAATATGCTATCTAACCTCCACAAAGAGAACATTTGGATTCAGAATGCAAATTAAAGCATATTTTCTTCTCTTTTTTCTTTCTTTTTCAATATTCATTCTTTCTTTCTTACATAAATAACATGGAATATTATTTTCCATGACTATATATATTTTAAAGGATTCTATATTTCTTGCCTTCTCAATAGGTGAGGGAAAGAGAGGGTAGAAAGAGATAATTTGGAACTGGAAATAACATATGACTGGATTTGAAAAAAAAACAGTTATTATGTACTTACATTATTCTAAATGCCATGATATACTCTAGAAAAGCAAATAAGAAAAGGCAGTCCTTGCCTTCAAGGAGCAACAATTTCAATTAGGCATTTGTGTGGCATGGAGGGTATATCTATAGCAGGAGAGACCCTACCAAAAATATGGGCACAGTATACACAGTGAAGTAAGGCTGGATCTGACCTTGGTAT